AGGTAGCATAAAGTTTCAAAACAATTTAAGACATTTTTGAGTTTTTATAGAAATTTAAATTTTGCGAGTTTTACATATAATTTTAATCGTTAGGTACTGTGTGGTAAAATCTTACTTTGTGGTCAAAAAAAAATTTAGTATAATATAGTATTTTTTTTTATAAAGGAACTTCAATATAAAATTTTGACAAAAATTGTTTGAGTAAAAAAATGATGTGAAACAAATCTAATTTTTCCATTTCTTCATTTTGAACATACGTATACTGCCGATTTATGAATGATGGTGAAGTCAGAGTTGAGAGGATTAACTAAATATTGAATATTATAGCATTTTGAAGTCTTTTTTCAGGATTAGAACTGTAATATTTTGGTACCATTTTAGGTAAACACAAACAATTTTAAATATCAGTTAACAAAAAAAAAATACATAATATACAGATATTTGATATCATATTGTACAGTGAAATATATGTAATTAATATTTTCAATTATTATTGAAGAATTATCTAAATATAATTGTTAAAACACAATATTGTTATTTAAAAAAAATAAATAATTTAAACAAAATTAATGCAAAATGGAATGCTTATTGTTCCATCAAAACTAATGTTTACTTTCAATTTATCTAATTTTAAGATATCTGTGTTTAAAAATTTGTTTATACCTTCAAAAGTAAAATTTGGACTGTGTATACTTAAACTTGTTATTGACCGCCCCTTAAGTTTGTTTACTAGAACATCAAACCATCTGTCACCAGTTACAATGCAATTTCTAAAAATTATAGTTTCTAAATCATGATTTATGTTAAGCAAGTTTTGTAGAAACCTATCACTAGCTATTTTATGGTCCAAGCGAAATTGTTTCAAATGTCTGAAACTAAGATGTAAATTTGTCATGTCGATAAAATTAGGAAACTTGCATTCAATGTAGGCTAAATTCTGTATATTTGAATATACTTGACCTAATTCATACAGAGTATGCTGGGTATGTGATTTAACATTTATATGACTGAATATTAATGTTGTAAGATTTTTCAAATATGTAAAATCCGTAGAAAAATATATTTCAAGATTATATTTGATTTCTAAAACTGTAATATGCTTATATATTGTATCTGAGTAATGAATAGAGGAATCACAAGCATCTAAATATGTTTGAATCGTTCTACTACCAATCTCAAAATGGGCTGGTGATAGATGTAAAAAGTTGTCAAATGCAGTTTTAGTATAGAAATATTCTACTACAATTCCCGGAAAATTATTGCAATGTATCATCCCAATTTGCTTTATTGTGTGTGAATCTGATTGAATAATACTCTGCCATCGTCTGCACACAAATGGTAGAACTACAATAAAATCCTTGGCTGAAACGTTTCGGAATATTTGGAGTAAAATTTCATCAGGTAGTTTGTTAATGCAAATTTGGTCGGTTTCCATTTCTGCAAAATCATACAATAAAAATAACTATTAAATATTGTTGTTTTATTCAGTTAAATTACAATATTCGTTCAGACTCATAAACCTTAGGTAAATTCAACTTTAATATAATAATTATTAAATATTGATACCTATTGAAATTGTATAGTCAAATTATAAGAAATGTCACCTTTGAGTTGACTGGCTTTTTTTTTTCTGATCATCAGGTGTTATAAAATTATAATTTCAAAATATTATGCATTGAATGTTGTATGTTTTACATATAATACACAGATAAAGCAGTTATAGAAAATTGGATAAAAAATTAATAAAATCTTAATCAGACGAAATACATTTCAAGAGGTTCTAATATCTATAAAAAATATTATTATTTTATGTTGATTACTTTTAATATAAAATTATAGTAGAGAACAGAAGAGGTCGTACGCATTTAGTGACATTGCATTTTAACCGAATTGGAAGTGATTGAAAAACACTGAAGAAAAAAAAACAATTAGATAATACCGCACGAGGAATACTCAATGAGTTATAACAAAATTAATAACTAATAAAATAAAAATGGTACCTAAATAATTTAATAACGAAAATGACTAATCCGTTTTTGTATCTACTATCAGTATTATTTATTATCATTATAATAGCTATACTGTATTATAGCTTTTGATATCTATACTATAGTTTATTTCACGAAAAGTTGCCATCAATGGTGGCGCGCCTAGTAGACTATTTGACGCAGGGGCTCTAAAATGAACGCGATATAAAGCGCGGCAAATTTTAATTGACTACTTATTTGTATATTATCTTAAAAATGTTTATTTATACATCGTTATTTAAATGCAGTATTTCATAATACAAATTATGAAAAATTCAGCTAATTTAGTATCACGATTTTTATTTGTCTGCAAATAAAAATAACACGATTAATTAATATAACATTAAAAAAAATTATGAGAACCATGGTTTGTAGAAATACCGCCACAAGGTACACCACCGTTGAGGGCCATTTTTTTTTAAAAGCACTATGGGTAGAAGCTTTGACATAATATTATAATTAATGTAATACCCCTGAGATAGATAACAATATTATTACTACGCCTACTACTAATAGCAAGTAGTAACTGCACTGTATAGTTTCTCATAATAATAATTATTAAAACATATTATTATTATTGTATATTTTAATACTTACTACTACTATATTTAATTTATTATTGCTTTGTCCAGTGGCGTGCCCAGTAATTTACAATGGTAGGGGATGTGACAAATGAAAATCGTGAATAAAGTGTAAAATCGTCTTTTCTACCCAAATCGACTATGATAATTGGTAATATAAAAGCCGAAAACTAAAAAAAAAACGAATTTTTTAATCAATACATCAATACATCCGTAGGAAATTTGCTGGAATTCATGATTTTCGATAATAGATTACCTATACTTTGTTGTATTTTAAAGCCCGTGAAGGGAGGGGATAAAACCTTTAATCTCCTACCGTGCACATGCCGCTGGCCTTGTCTGCTTTAACGAAGCGAATTCAGAAATTGAGTCGAAAATAAACCCCGATTTCTTATGATACATCATGTCTTGTGTATCTCATTGCGCGACCACTGTGTGCAATTTATTTTTATAGGTACAAAAAAACCATCTTATATCGGAGCCACTGTAGGACGAAATCAACTTAAAACGGAAAAATTAGTTGGTACCGAGTGATTCCGTTTTAAGGATGTTAAAAATATATATGTGTTAATACGTGACCCCGGTTGGTTTTCAAAAATTTGAAACATCCGATTGCCTCTCAAAGCATCTGATTGACAACCAACAAATATGGTTAGTGCTCGAGATGATGAAAGACGATGGATCGATAAGGTTTATGCCTTTATTGTCAATAGATGAGTTAATAAAATATTTATAGTACAGCGAAAATTAGTAGATAACTGTCGACACTGAAATAGTCACTTCCTAAATTTAAATGAATATATACCTACCATCAATATCCCTTTCATAACCACTATCCATTACAATGGAAATGAGTAAATAACTTTATAGTCATTACTGTGGATCTATATCTTAAATAAACAATTGATTAAATGATATTTTAATTATTTAGTTAAATAATGAAAGGAATATTAATTCCAAATTTATATACAGGTATCCCACAAAGTCCTAACTCATGTAATATCTTTGTGAATAATAAAGATAATCGAATTATGTTTTATTTTGACAAAAAACCTAAAAAAATAATTTTTTATTTTCTTGTTTTAAAAGGAACTNATACTATGGATTTAAATCTTGATTAAACAATTGATATAATGATATTTAAATTATTTAGTTCAGTAATGAAAGGAATATTAATTCCAAATTTATATACAGGTATCCCACAAAGACATACCTAAAGTAATATCATTGGAAATAATAAAGATAATCACATTATGTTTTGTTTTGGCAAAAAACCTAAATTAATAATTTTTTATTTCCTTGTTTTAAAACGAATTGAAGATTTTAGAACTATTTTAGAGAGGTTTATTTTTCTTAAATTATTGACATATCCACTATTCGCAATTTTTAATAATTTTTTAAAGTTCAGAGAATAGAAGTGAACGGACAATTAATCGTAATAATATTAATCAATTAGAGAATGTGATTACAGCCTGTTGCATAATTATCGTTAGGTAAGCAGGTATAGGTCATTATGTTATAGTATTTTATTATTATTATTTTATTATAACTCAAGAGTCTTGCTTCATTTTATCAGAGCAGGATCAGATTTCACGATGACCCTGTGTTTATTACATTGACAGTCCGATTGATACTATTATTATACTTTTATCTATTTTTTTTCATAGTAGTGTCCAGTAGTGGGTAAAAAAATAATTAATAAATCATAAATAATAGATCAAAAACCAATGAGGAAGGATCAAGATTATTCGTAAACATAAGTTTTATCATAGAACATGCACGAACATATATGAGGGTCATATTATGTCTTAGAATGTTGGTAAACTGCTGGTCAGCTGCTACCAGAGCTTATAGTTAAATCACATCCAACACACAAAATTAATACAAATTCAAAACAGTAACTATGGTATAATAACAATGTAGGTAACAATATTTAATTACAACATAAAAGAAACATACATCTAATAGTGATGTTATTGTAATGTAAATACATAGGTTATTAGAGTTTTAACATAAAAAAAATCTTCAAAAACATAAAATCTAGAATACTTAATTTATGGTATATGTTCAAGGAAGATGTCACAGAAAAAAGAACAATATAATTAATATAATAATACTAGATAGGAATAATTTATATAACAAATACAGATAACATGAACTTATACTTAATATGTGTTTGTGTGTTTATGTGTTTGGCTGCCCTGTGACCATGAAATACAACTATTTTTGGATTATTGTTGATAGTCACTAGTGAGGTGGTCATTAGAGCATTATCAGCGATAAAATTTTCTATCAATCCTCGAAAATCGTATTCATTTAATTTTTGTCACCTCACCTCACCTCAAGTTTTTTATATACTAATTTTACATTCCAAATTTCCTACATTTCTCATCAAATTCATTTTCATCTCACGAGTTTAAACAAAAATGTAAAAAGGTTTGTTCAATTTTATCTTATTCATTAAAACTATCTAACTATTCTACAAAACCCCCAGTTCACTACCTAACAATGAACAGAGAAAAATAAGACACTAAATTAGGGAAACTTCACTACAATTTAATGTTGTCCTGTGAAACCTATCTATAAAATTAATCTTATAAAAATATGAAATTATATCGAAATCTGTTCACTTCTAAAATAAATAGAAATACACAAAGAAATGGTTGTTGGGTACACACATTAAACACATATTTTACACAAGTAAAAATATGAATATTTATATTAAATGTTTAGTAGTAAATACATTATAATTATAAGAGTAGTATTGCAATCAATTTTTTTATATTTTTGTTGCATTTCAGTAACACAAAAAGTTTTAACTGTTTCTAGAATTTAACTAATAATAAATAAAAATTAAAAAATAAATAATAAACATATAATACAAAAATTGTTTAACATTTTTAAAATTATGTAATGTTAACCATAAAACTGATTTCTAAAGTTAATAGTTAATATTTTTTTTGTAAATTTAAAAATATGCCTTGAAATTGCTTCTACTTATTACAACAATTTAAAAATATAAAACTAAAAGTGAATTTTTAAGAATTTAACAATGCTAATAAAAAGTTCTTTTTAACACATTTAATTAAAAATATTTATTTGTTTCTTTTTCTTATTATATTGCTAAGTAAAGGACGAGTTGTATCAGTCAATGCCACTGCCGTAAATCCAAGTTCAGAAATTCCTTTAAGAATTTCATATTCATTCATGTCATTAGATGTGGTATCCTGTTACAACAATAAAAAAAAACTTAATTGAAAACTAAAATCCTTAAAGTTTCAATTCTTATTAAATATTAATACCTACATGTAAAGATTGTTTAGCTATATTCAGTTTACTAACTGTGTACACTTATGAATAGAAAACAAAATGAGTATATTATAGAAAGTTATGAGTATTTAGTTTAGCATTTCTATATAATATTGTTTGTAAAAATAAAAGGCGTAACTTTTTGTTAAATTGAATAAATCTTCTATCTACCATAAAGATTTTCCAAATATTAATATTCAAAAATATCATGTTAAGTAGTGTTACCTGTTTATTGTCATTTAATAATTAACAGATTGTATATTTTCAAACAAATGTACTCAAAATAATCAGTAAATATTGATTATGATAACATGAGATATTTTGTAAAAACAAGGTATTGGTCAAGGGTCCGCGATTTTTAAGTCTTTTATCATGGGTCAATGCGCACCAAAAGTTTAAGAACCACAGATCTACATACTATACAAAAATCATTTATTTTGTTTTTCCAAGCAGTTTTTATAATATCTGTGAATAACCTGGATAAAACTTAAGAAAAATTGAAAATTGATGAAAATAATGGCTTTTATTTTTTTCAATTTTGTTATTTATTGTAATTTGGTTAGAAATATTTGTAGAGACTTGACATTTGGATAGAAAAATTATATTTTTCTTTTATAGGTAGCATAAAGTTTCAAAAAGATTTAAGCCATTTTTGAGCCATTTTAATTATGCGAGTTTTACATATAATTTTTATTCAGTAGGTACTGCCTGGTTAAATTGTAGGACTAAACCGAAATTTGTGAAAACTTAACAGTAGGTTCATTAAAAGTTATACTTTGTGGTCAAATAAAAAAATTTGAACTTAATATAGTATTTTTTTTTTATAAAGAAATTTTAATAAAATTGTTTGAGTAAAAACTTATGTGTAACAAATCCAGTTACTGATTAAAATTGTTTTAATATATATTTATTTTACTATAATATGACATATTAATATGTTGTTGAAAATGATTAATCTTTGCTCACAGACTTACATTCAATTTTCCTCTATATACACCTTCCTAACTTCTCACCTACGTGTGAAGTATGTTCATCCTTTTTTAATCATAACAATAGTTAATAATTATTAGTACTTGAATAGGAACCTTGTTAACATTTTGAGCAAGTAAATATAATTTTTGATTTTTTAAATTCTATCAAATTTAATTACCATCGCTTCAGTATCATTTGAAGTTATTTGTTGATTAATCTGTTGATTTATAGAACTCGATTCTAACTTTTGGAGTTTCCTCAGCAGAACTTCTCTTGTGGTATTTGTAATTGGAGTAACTATGCCATAGTAAGCAAGTTTTGATTTTAAATCAATATCAGACAATGCACCATTTAGAGACATATTTATTTGTTTTCTGTCAACAAGAATATGTTATTAATATACACTTATTTATTATTAATTCTTAGCAGACTTAATTAAAATATTGTTTTTTAAAGCATAAATTCGAAAAAAATAAAATAAACCTCTAAGCAGTTACCATAACTACGAGAAAAATTGTGTGGTTGATCAAAAATTCAAAACATTAACTAGGTAACTAATGTTTATAGAAATCACTATGTTTAAATAGTGACTTCAATCATACATAAGAATAAGTAAATTATACTATAATTTTACTTTATTCTAATACATTTCAACATAGATTATGATTACATAACAATATTTATAGATGATTTTGATGGATTAATGAATTTATGCCTATCAAGCCGAATTAATTGTGTATGGAAGATAAGGAAAATATCTATATTGTTTTAAATGGGAAAATAATTTTTAAATACAAAATGTGATTTACACACATCATAGTCATACAAATGGAGTAGGTAATTTTACCTATATTAAAAATATTGTATATAATTATGAATGAAAAATAAATATAAATGTACCTATTACTTGCCAACTTGAATATAGGTACCAGTTGAAGTGTGGCTCTTCAACCATATAATTTATAAACCTTCGGTAGGAATACCTATTCAATTGTTTGTTTATAATATAAATACCAAATCTTAAAAATCACACGATGTAAAAATATACGATTACAACACAAATGATATAAACAAGTAATTTCAATGAAAAAAATAAAATAATACTTGTATATTAAAACATTTCTGGAATTCTCAATTCTATGAAGAGAATACTGTTTATACGACTGTTCTTATAATATTTATTGATTGTAGGTTACAGGCACAAAATATAATATTATTCATTGATAATATATTTTCGACCTAACGACAAATAACCACTCGACATAAAGCCACGCGATCATAATCCACGGATCCGAATTTGACAAAACGCCACTCGATAGAAGACCACCACACAATACTATAAACTTTATAATTGGGTCACAAAATTATAATAATTTAAAATATATTGATATTATATTATTACCTATGTTAAAATAGTATTAAAATTTGAAGTTAAATGTAGACTGCAGTGTATTTAAAACTATATTTTTGATGATTTGTAATTATGTTATCATAATAATATTGATAACAGATTGTAAATATTGTCCTATCTACTTGGCTTCAAAGACCTATAAGGGAAGTCTTCAATTCGCCGTGTCGTTTCGTGTGTTTTGAACACGACACGTTCCTTTTTGATTGCACGAAATAATTTGTTCTAGTCGTGAATGACACAATTTTAACATGGATTAATAAATCTAATAAAGATTTAAAAATCGAAAAAGTTCAAAGTCAATTTGAAGTTAAACATATTTCTAGAAAGAGAAAAATGGCAAGTTATGAAGTTACTGATAGTACTATTAAAAATGTTGAAAAAAAGTTTACTGTTGATGTATATAATAGAGTATTTGATATGATTATATTAAGTATGGAAAACCAATTTACAAATAGTAAAGAAATACTTCTTGATTTAACATCATTATCACCAATTCATATTGATTCATTTATGATTGGACTACCTAAAAATGCTTTTGTTAAATTAGCTGTAAAATTAAAACCATATTTTGATAAAGACAATGAAAATGAAATAAAATATAAATTGTCTAAAGAAATTTAAGCTTTTCAAATTCTTTGAAAAATTTAAAGAAATCTGTAGTTGATGAATGTATTGAAGAACTGTACTTAAATAGTGACATAGAAAATGAAGATGAGGATAAAGACACATCAAAACTATGTAAGACATGTAAAAACTGTAGCATTTGTTATAATGCATTGATTAAGTATAATCTTTACACTAATGCTTATCCTATATTAGTCATTGCTTATCAGTATTTGCTAACTTTGCCGGTACCCAAGTGGCCTGTGAAAGATCATTTTCTACTTTAAAATATGTAAAAAAAGTTTGAGAAATTCAATGACAACCGAACATTTACAGTCATTCATGTTGATGGCAATTGAAAAATAGATTCTCTATAGTTTAGATAATGATATGATTATTAATAAAGTTGGTGAAAAATCCAAATTATATTCTATATTACTCTTATAAGTTATAGAATACACTTAATGACATTTGTATATATATATTAAATGAAAATATTAAAACGAAAAATGTATTTGTTAATTTTCAAGTTATTTTATAGATCAAAGAATAAATTTTTCAAGCTTATGTCTATAGGTTAGCTCCGGAAACTATCAGTTGATGAGCCGATGGCCCGGCAAAATATGTTTTCCAGGGCTGAATTTAGGATCCACTCCGCCCCTGAATGTATACGGTTTTACACGAGTTTTAGAGAAAACAAACTTATTGTACTAGCGATTAGCTTGATCGAAGTAACACTATCTGGTTTAAATAAATAATTGATATAAAAAAAAAAAAAACACAACTAGTAACAAACAAAACATATTATTTTTAGACACTGAGTAATATTTTTGCCGCAAATAAAAACTATGTTCCGAACGTACCTAATGTAATAATGAGTACACCGCACACAGAATAATACTAGTTTTAAAATAAAAATAATTATTACGATTTACGACGCATTAGGTACCCGACACTATGTTGAGTAATTCTAATTATAATCAAACAGGAATGATAGAAAATTACTAATTTCAATTTAATGATGCGTTTACACACACAATTAAGATGTCACTTGTGAAACTTTCAGAAAAATAAAATAAATTTTAGCAAATAACTAGGGAAATTAAAAAAAAAAAAAAACACCTTATGACAAAACTTACTAGTTACTGTTTAAGGTAATTATTTTATGGGGGCCTTTTATTTATTGAATCTTGCGGGGGCCTCGGGGCCCTCCCCTCTAAATGCAGCCCTGTACAATAGCCTATACCTTTTCTACTACCCACGCACGACAGTGGCACGTCCGTTTTTCTGCAGTATCAGCTAATTTAATTTTTTTTGGAACATGTTATTTTATCGTCGTGATAACTGATAAGATATAATTTCGATTAACATATTTTAAATAATTATAGCACGGATGATAATTAGTTGCGAATAATAATAATTACAAAATTATTCGAAAACGTGCCCTCGGAAATTTACATTTTTCCCGTCCGACCAGCACCGCGCGCGCGTTTAAATTATAATAAAAAGATTATTATTATTACATTATTCTATGACTGCAGGTATTATATTACGTCCATGTAGTTGTACGCCACTGTACGGGACGGAAGCATTTTGTGTATACTTATATAGGCGGGTATTATTATGCGGCGCGAGCGTGTATACGGTATTATTATAATAATATATATTTGTTATCAATAAAAAATACGTAGGTAAACCGTAATACACTACTGTAAAACAATATAAGTGTTATAATATACACTTGCATAATATATACTCCATACACTGTAGCCGCAGTACCTATACCTATATACAAGGTATTCGAGGTATGTACGGGTACGACCATTATGATAATATATATACACCCGTTTAAATATAAGTATAATAATAACATACGGATTCCGGAAACCCGTGGGGCGGAAGTGGTGGGGTGGGCGAAATGCGATTTGAATATTCTGTGTATGCAAAAGGGCAAAAATAAAAAAACGCACGAACCGCCGTACCTCTGAGATATTATTTAATGTTAGTATATATATTATATGCGCGTGTAAACGGAGCGGGTAGAATATTTAGTAGGGTAGGTATGTAGGTAACCGTATTCGCCGTGCACGAACGCTCGTGTTTATACTATTGAAATGGTAAACTGGTAATGAAATAACTGTTATTATTTCTTACCGAAAATATAGCGGTGGAAATAGCTCCAAAACAGAGCCCGAGACTTTATTTTTCAGTGGATGTACAGGTGAATTGAAAACAGACGATCACCATTGAATTACTCATTAAGTAATACGAGTGGACGAACAAATGTATAACAACACATCTTTTTTCCTTTTTTTGCTCTAAACTGTGTAAATTGTAATTGTGCTCCCAATATGGTTAAACTATTATATTTTGCCTCGGGTATTAGAAGTTCTAGTGACGCCACTGATATCATCTTACATTACATATATCGACTTATATCGCTATTAAGTGACTAAGTTACAGAAGCAACTATAGTAAATATGGTGAATGAAACTTGTTTAATAAAAAAGAGTCATTTTCGGTAACTCGTGGCATGGTTATATATTATATTAACATGGGTATTGCACACAATGCGCAATGCACATGAAATAAAATACTATCCGACGTGGTTTTGCGTAATAAATCAGGGTTTATATTCGATTAATTTCTTTCCATTCGTTTTTTTGGGAGCTAAAGGCTCCAGACAAAGCATTATTACAATTACACATAGTAGTATATTATATAATATATGGTATCCAAATATTACACATTTAAAATATAAAGGTATAGAAATTACGCTTTCGGTCCGTTGTTATTCATGCTTATTATTATTTGTCCTTATGATTTTCGATAATATTTTAGTATATATATATATATAATATATAATAGATGACAATGGTTTATTGATAAGTAGAGAACTAAAGTGGGAAAGACTTCAAAGGGGGAATATATTTACCAAAAACTGAGGGGCGTTTCTGAACACTAAATAAATCAAACCAAACATTTAGAAAACTCATCATGAAGACATGAAGTCCAAAATATTTTTTCACTCATACACATTTGTTCATACAATTTTTATATTAATAGGGTTAAAAATAAACTACCTCTTCCCCCAAACTTTGTCCTAGGTATAATATGCCCGCCCATTAAAAATAAAATAAAACAGTTTGATTACGTATGTAATCAAATAGGTAATAAAGAATTTATTTTTAACAAAACTAATTAGAGATAAAATTTCATTAAAAATGTTTTATTGACAATATGCCTAAAGCGTACCCCTGGACTTTGAAGATTTAAATTAAAGGGGGGCTGATTTACTGTTACTTAAAATCAGAAGAGAACCACTACTGATAAAACATTATAATCAGTTTAGCAGTCTAGTAGTGCATTTTGTCGGGGCTATACCACGAAAAAAAATAGCAATGATGATAATAAAATAATAATAATATGTAGAAATAAAAAAAAGACTGAAATACTTCGCACGCGGGTGCAGCCACTATTGTGGTAGGAAGCTGGGAAGGTAGGGGACAAAAAGGAATTTAATGTATAACTGTAAGTAACGATAAATCATTACTATCGAAAAATGATTCTGAGCAGAGTTCAGTTGATAATGATGCATTTTCAACAATATATATGTATCATATTATGGTAAAATAATTAAATTAGTTAATATTAGTTAAATATTGTACCCATTTTCCCGTTTTCCTGCATAATTTCCAATTTTCTCATGTTTTTTTCCGGTGTTTCACATTTGCTGGGAAAACTCTTGGGAAAATTGAAAAATGATCTCCCTAAAGTACCTTCTCAATCAGATTTTTTTTCAGAAAAAGTGTTATAATTTTAAGTCAGAGAAAAATTGTAGGTAAAAGAGTTGTACACAGCAAAAAAAAAGTCATAATATTTTTTTACTAATACCTACATTTTGTACATTTTCCATTCTTCTGATATTTTACCCTGATTTTTCCCAAATATTACGAAAATTTTAGACAAATCTAAAAACGACCTCTCTAAAATACTATGGAGATAAAATTTTCTTTCGAAAAATAAGCTACACTTGTTACATCGGAGAAAGATTTCTGATAGAAAAGTTTACACAACAAATCGAGGGACACTTTGCGATTAAAATAGACAGAGCGAGCGACGACTTGGATCTCTAAGCACACACAAAATGCTTTGTTTTTTATTGTTTAAGTAAAAGGGGAAAAAATGCAAACAGTTTGCATCAAAACTCGGGTTTGAACTCGCGACACCCCTAGGATGTCAATAGGAATGTGTTATGATTAAACTACGGCAAACATAATTAAGTTTGACAATATATAGTTATTAACAAAACATAACATGCTAACATAAGATATAATATCCGCATAATATCAGAACTTCAAAAAGCTATAATTTCTAAACTATATCAGTCCGCTCAATTCTTACTTCACAATCGTTCTTAAATTGGCAATTTACATATGTTCAAAACAAAAAATTGAAAAATTAGATTTGTTCCACATAACTTTTTACTTGAAAGATTTTAATCAACATTGATGTTAAAAATTCATTTAAAAAAAAAAAAATATAATACATAAAACTTTTTTTTTTTTACCACAAAGTAATATTTTTAATAAACCTCTTGTTAAATTTTCAATTTCTGGTTAGTCTAACAATTTTACCACACAGTTCATACTGAAAAAAAATTACCTATAAAACTCGCAAAATGAAAATATCTATAATTTGCTAAAATATAGCTTATATTTATTAAACATTTTACCATTTCTAGAAAAGTAAAATTTCAGTTTTCTGTCAGAATTTTAGTTTCAATGATTATTTTTGACTCAATTTCGACAAATAAAAAAATTGAACGAATTATAAAAGCATTATTTTCGTAAATTTCCCGTTTTCTTACGTTTTATCCTGGTTTTTCCCAGATATTATGAAAACCGCTTGAAAAATCAAATCTTGGCCTCCCAAGAGTATCATTTGGACATTATTTCTTTTCAGACATAATGCTCGCGTACATATCGGAGCAAGATTTTTAATAGAATTTTCGTACACAGTATATAGATGTATACATAAAAAAAATCTCTGTAAAATCAATACATTATTCGTTACATTCAGAATCTAAAAAAGCTATCCTAGGAGATAATGGAGACGGGTGCAGCCACTGTAATAGGTAATTTAATGTACACCTGTAAGCAACGATAAACCTTTGCTAATGAAAAAACGATTCTGAGCGGAGTTCAGTTGATAGTGATGCTTTGTTAACAATATATGTCATATTATAGTAAAATAATTAAATAGGCTTTATATATTTTCTTTAATAATATTTGTTTGATGTATTGATTTTCCCGTTTTTCCTAAGTTTTTCCCGGTTAAAAAATCATCTCCTTAAAGTACCTCCCCAGTCAGGTTTCCTTTCAGAAAAAGTGCTATCATTGTAAATCGGAGCAAAATTACTGATAGAAAAGTCGCGAACAGATAAAAAAAAAAAAAAACATCTTTACGCTGCATTCAGAATCTAAAATAGTAGATATTTTCGAATTTCATCAGCAGCCCGCCATGGTCTGTTTGTGCGAAATAGCATAGCAGTGCTATTATAGCGACCACTGCTATTTTACGCCACTGCAATGGTTTATCATACTCTGGGTTCAGATAATGACAATTCCGCAGACACTCTGTATATACTCGGGTATATCTACGCGCTCTCGGGACTCGACCGCTTATCCATACCGTTATACGGTTTGTTCCGTGCTAAACGGCTATTATACGATTATATTGTGTCCGTCCGCGGCGTTTCGGGTTTTATGGCAGCGTGTGTTGCGATGAGGAGGGCGCGTATATTCGGTTTCGCCCGCGCGAGACTGTGTACGGCGGCGGCGTGCTCGATTGGGGAGGGGACCCGGCCGAAATCGCCGAGCTGTCGCGGGCGCACCGCGCGCAGACCCGTCTTTCAAACATTTTCCTCGTGCCTGGCAAGTCGTCGTTGCAACGCGCACACCGTTCGCCCGAGGAACTTTTCGCTTAATACCACTATTGTCTTTTGCAGTGCTACTAGACGACCTATTGTACTATCGAATCTATTATACGTCCGACACCGCCCGGCAACAAGCCCGACGGTACATTATAGTACTACCAATAATATTAGGTGTTATTATACCGTCTCGATGGCGCGTCCGAACAACTGCCGGAGGCTGTGGCTGACGCTGTTGGCCGTCTGTGTGTGCGGGGCGTCCGCTCAACGGCTCGTGCCGTCAGTCAAAGTCCGCGACCAGGGCACCGTGTCCGGCGACGACGTAGTGCTCAGCAAGCTCGGATACCGGGCCTGGGTATATCTGGGCATACCGTTCGCCAAGCCGCCCGTGGGCGACCTCCGGTTCGAGGCGCCCGACGCGGACCCGCCGCCCGCGTGGACCGGAGTCCGCAACGGGTCCGCGCACATGCCGGGGTGCATTCAGAATCCGCCGGCCATCACGCAACCCATATACAGGCTGTTCGCTTCCATGGGTGCCACGTCCGGCGGCCAGCACAAGACATCCGAGGATTGTCTGTACTTGAACATCTACAGGCCCGAAGGTGAGTACCGAGTATACACCTGCAAAATTAGTGCTGGCAGTCAGATGCCGGATTTAAGGTTATGGGAGCCCGGGGCTAAATACCGATAAGAAAACTGGTTAAAGATACGTATAAATAAACAAAAAAAAAAAACAAATCATCTACAAAAACACACATTGTGCGGCCCTCTTTAACTTACGGCCCGGAGTTATAGCCTTCCTCCTTTATCTAGCCCTGCTGGAAGTCGTGCACGTATGATATTGTATTCAAATATTTGAAATTATTTGTTTTGTACTTACCGATTTTAAGCGACAGTTACGTTGGAATGTTCGGATTAATATATACCGCGACCGTGGTGTCGGTGTGTTATTATAGATGCCGAAGTGTATTTTTGCAAGTTAAAATGTTCGAAATACGAGTTTAAATTTAATTTTTAATTACTTTTTTTTTAAATTTAATTATTATATCTACTTGTTATTATTATTAGGTATTAGTTTAATGTCCATTGCCTAAACAGTGGTTCTCAACCTTTTTGACACTACGGACCACTTAAAGAACTTTCTATGGGGTGCGGACCATCACTATATCGGCCGATAACCATAAAAAAAAAAAAAAGTAATAAAAATCTGGTAATGTGAAAGCAACTATTCGTTATACGTTCAGGCAAGGCCAAATTTTTAACGCCTGGCCAAATTACGGAATTTTAAATACTCAAATAAAAATTGTAATTTTGTAGGTATTGCCTCGTGGACCACCACACATTATCTCAAGGACCACCGGTGGTCCACGGACCATACGTTGGGAACCACCTTAAGGGATATTTTAAAATACATTTAGTGCGTACGTGTTGTGTTTTAGAACTTTTGACATAATAATATTGTTTCGACGATTTAGATTTTTGAAAACGTGGCATAACATGACTAATATGCGTCTCTGTTATTATATACTTATGTGTAATGCTTAGAATAGTAATGGTTACGTAACAGTTCGCCACACTGTACGAGTCGGTGCTTCCAAAGACATTTTCAGTATAGATATTTTATTAATTTTAATTTTAAAAAAATTCAATGTATCCTATATTATAGTCAAAAGAATTATAATATGATTTCAAAATCGAAACTAGTAAAATGTAATTCCAATAGTTTATCTGGATTTTTGATCTAAAACGTTTTATTCGTCGCGTTGCGTCGGTAAGAAAAACGGCCGTACCGACCCTTTAATTTAATATGTATCAGACAGTAGCTGATCAATGGAATAGTCTTATCATTAAGGTGGAAGAAGGTTATTGAAATATAAAAAAAATTGAAAAAAATTTAGATAATTGTCAACCGAAATTTTCCTATTTTATTTTTATTATTTTTTATTTAGCAGTAATTTTCGAATTCTAAAGCAGTCTATAGCAGTATAGCATTTTAATAAAATATACTTATTATTCATCATGTTTGAAAATGTAAATGGATACCTACAATTACAAAATGTATAGAAGATAATAATATAAAATAACTATTGTACTAATAATTTAAAATTAAATAAAAATGCAATTAGTTGTTACTTATCTATTATAGTTCAAAATTTTAAATATTTATTTAGTTATACGTTATACATACCAAAATTTTAAGACCCGGGTTTCTATGCAAATACTATGTATAATAATAATATTATATATTGTACATGTTTCTGTACATTTTACTCCATAAATATTTGTGTTCGTTAAGTCGATGTTTCAAAAGTTCGTGAATCTTTTATAGACCCGATAAAGGTAATATTTAGGTGATATCATTTTCTATGATATCATGGTAAAAATATCCAAAATAGATATTCTAGCAATAAATGATACAATATCATTTGTTTATGTACAGTTAATAGTTTTATTTAATGGATAAATACGGAAAATTATTAGTTTCATCGTACTTTTTGATAATTTTCAATCAGTGAACAAATTTTCTTCGATAAATTTTGTTTCGATCATCAACTTCATGGGTGGTTTATTGGTGGTGAACATTGTTCAAGTGGTATGATGAAGCAGTAATTTCTTGATTTTCGTTGTAATTACTTGATAATAGAGAAAAATTCTTAAAAAGACACCAAAAGAAGAGAAAATGTACCTAGTATAACAGTGTCTAATATTTCCGATTTTATTTTATTATTATACTATTCAGTTACAAAGAATAAGATACATTACATTTATTATCATATTACTTCAGGCGATGCATTCGTTCGTTAATCATTTTTTCTTTAATTTTTATTTATTCTAATTCGTAACGCAAAAGCTTGACATTATTTTTGAATAATGTTTGTTGAACAAAAACGTAAATTGTCGAGAAACAATTGAAATTATAATAGTGATTTTTTTCGTAATATTAAATTTTAAGTGGTCTGAGAATTTTAAAATTGCATGTTTTCTATTTTTTTTATTTTAAAAATAAACTTCAGTATGTAACTACCTATATCTATATAATACTTGCCCGTTGCTTTGCGTGCTGGTGTCAAAAAAATCATAATCTTGTGTAATATTTCCCTTGATACACATTATTACACAGAAATGAAATGTTAAAAATAAATTTAATTTATTGCCTATATTTGTTAAATGTACATTACTTGTGCAATATATATATAAATAATATTGTATTAATTATTGTTAATTTGTTAAATATAATCATTTGACCAAAAAATTATACCTATAATGAACCTCCTGTAAAATGTTCACATATTTCTGTTTGGTTTGACAATTTTATCCACAGAATACCTACCGAATACAAGTTAAGTAAAAATCGTAAAATTAATATGTCTATAGATAGCTCAAAAATGGCTAAAATATTTTAAACATTTTACTCCGTCTAGAAGAGGTAAATAAATAATAATTTTTCAGTTCAAATTTCAAATTAAAAATAATACATAACGTACATTTTTCCTGTTTCCACAAGTCTTTCCCGGCTTTTCCCAATTATTATGAAAATCGTATGAAAATTCAAAAAATAACCTTCTTATAGTAACGCCCAATTAAAAAGTGTTCAGAAACAGTATTACACTTCAAAATTGGAGCAAAATTTTTAGTAGAAAAGTTGTTCATAGGCAGAAATAAAAATCACACATTGTAAAAGAGAAAAACCAATATATTACTGTCTTTGCTCAGAATACAATAAATACAATTTACATGTGTTATTACATATATTATATGATTAATGAGTAGTTTTCCATAAAAATAAAAAATACCTCATATAGTTTTCAATTTAATTATACTCAAAAAGAAAAAAACAATTTTTTGATTGATAAACTTAACGAGGGCGTAACTAATTATTACATTTTAAATCGATATAATACCTTAGTCACATGAATAATTATCAATTGTTTAGGCCTACGTGACCCAAATAAAATTAGTCAATTGGCTTCAGTTTTTTATTTACGTATACCTATGTTATATCAAGTGAAAAAGGAAAACATCTATTGTTAGATAAACGTATTATCGCATTTTTTCTACTGTGTATAATGTATTAAATAGGATAAATTAACGATCATTTATGTGATTGTTTTATTTTTTAATGCTAATTTCACAATATTTACTCAAATTATGCCACAGTTCGTATAAAAATAACTTTCTAAATTGAAAAAAAAAATTGTATTCATATTTTTTAAAAGTTATTAATTTATTATTATTATTATTTTTTTTTTTTTTTGAAATCGTTTTTTTTTGTACTTATATTTTATATTACTAAGCTTACAAAAAAAATATGTTATGTACGCCATTGTTGATTAATTCAAAATGAACATCCTAAACTTTTTAATGATGTGGTCGATTATATATTTAAAAAAATATTTTTTTATTATTACCATTCTCTATATTAAACCACACGCAATTTAAACTCATTTAAGATTTAAATAATGAGATTATAATTGTAGTTCGTTGAATTATTATTTAGTGGTTTTATGAAGTTTTGCATTCTGTCTGCAAAGTAAGTTTGAGGTATTTTTTATGTGGTTCTAGTAGTATGACATAATACCTACTCAAAAATATAATACACCAACAATTTTGTCAATATTTGAATGAACTAGCAACCACTCAACCATCCACCTCAAATTATTGGTGGTTCAGTGAATTACTAAAATAATATTCAAACTAATATTGCCTTTGTGCAGTATTGTCGTATTGGTTAATATAATAATACATGATAATAATAATACGTTTATCTAGCAAAAATAATTTACAATTTTACAATAATAAACAGAAAAAAATTAGAAGTTATATGTTTGCAACTCCCCTTTAAACATAAAGCTCGTGTTGGGAGGTATATAAGTTTGAGTTTAGTACATTGTCGAGTGTAAAATAAAGTAATAAATATAAATATAAAATTACAAAAAAAAAAATAAACATGCATAGATAATTAGATAGATATACTAAATTAAATCTGATCCAAGTCTTCAACTACATAGCTTTAGTCCTGATGACAATACATTAATATAAGCAAACAAATTTATTACATTTAAAACTAAAAACTATCGTAAAATGTTTTTTTTTTCAATATTATTTTACTTATTTTTCTTATAATTTTGTGTAATTATTCTTAAGATTGATTTTCATCAATTTTCCATTATTTTGTGTTCCTTGCTTTACAATTCTTTACAATTTTTTCGTAGGAATTATACTCTTGGTCCATTACTATTCTTTTTACAGAATATATATATTCTATACCTTACATAATTTTCATTTTCTTTGCACCCTTCTATAGTCCAAACAACACACCATGTTTCAGCACATGTTCAATCCATTTATTTTGTTTTTAAAATACTTTTCTATCATGATGCTCTTCACTCTGATATTTATTTCAATACTTATTTTACTTAGTGAGTAAATAAAATAAAATAACAATATTTGTTTGATTTTATGAGATCTATAGAAATAATTATTTCTAGTATTTGTTATTTGTATAGGTAAATACATTTTACAATTCCTTTTTTGATATAACGGATACCTCTAGGCTATATTATTTTTAAGCGCGTTTTATTTTTTGTCAATTTTATGATTACAATTATTGCTGTATTATAGATATACCTAGATATGTTTATACCACGAGCAAATTAATCGGATTAGAGAAGTCAATCCGAATCGATATATCGGATTAAGTTCCTTAACTGATCGCGTTAACACGGTACGTTTACATCATATACCTATAAACAGTAGTGGTGTCTAAATTTTACCAAATCTAAATTTGTAGTCACGGTGGTGTAAGCATATAAAAAATACTCACAATGTCATATACATTAAACAGTTGCGTTAAAAATAATAGAGCGTACATAGGTAAAAAGTAAATTTAAATTTTAAATATAATAATTTTATTTAAAACTATACAAATATGCAATACCTAAATATTAAAATTATAAAATATATTTGACAAACAGAACTTAAATAAAATGGTAAAACAATATTTATTGTAATTCAGAAATGTATGCCTATACTATAAAATAGCTATTATACTCGTGTATAAAAACGCTTGTCATCCTGAGTCTGACTGGTTTAATGACTGATTCATTATTACCATACCGAAACTGCTGAACCTATAAGTACAAAATGTGGACAGTAGTTTCATGTTATAACATAGACTCCCTCAGTAGGGGTTTTTTAAAATTCAAGAGGGTTTTAAAGTGAAACTTCATAGTGTCTAGAGCTTTTAGGTAGAGCCGCTTGCCAGGGAGCGAGGCAACTTCGTGGCGTCGTCACCGATGCTTAGCGTATATATCCATAGACAGCCTCTGACTCTCTCATTTTATTTTCTCTTCGCCATAATCCCCCTCGATCATGATGAGAACGGTATACCTGGACCGGAGCGCCACGTTCACCAGCCTAGCGGTGTGTTTTTTACATATAAAGTGTTCCCTAATAGGGAAACGTAGGACAGCTTTTTCTCCACGACTGACATGAGGAGTGCCCGCTTCGCCTGAGAGGGCCTCCTGATGATCGATATCAATCACCCAATAGTGATGACTATCTTTATTGTCTTGCTGCCGAAGGTATTTTAACTCAAGTGCTTATTATTACAGACTGTCAAGACCCATACCTCTTAAATTTCCTAACATTTGTTGTTTCAAGCATGGGCGTTCTCACGGGGGGAGGGGGGTGGATCCTCCATCTTCTATAGTTTTTAATTTTAGGTAATATAGAGTTTCCTGTTTAACTAATATTTAGTGATGATAATCAAATTAGTAAATATAATCAATAAACATTTTTTTGACTCGTTATTATTTTATACAATATTCGTATACAGATTACAGACCATGCACGGTTACAGACTGTATTTGTATTTTATATGCCTATGGTTACAGATTATCTTTACTGCGGTTTTGGTTTATAATCAGCTGAGTTCAATGAAACTCCTTTGTATGGTTGAATTATGCATAAATTCAAATTCTGTTTTTTGGAAATTTTAAGTTTTTTGCATATTTAGGTGTTCCACGACATTAAATATTGTGGAGTTATTTTAAAGAATATCCGTGGTGATAAGAAAATTTATTTTTCAAATTAGAACCTACATATTTTGATACAAATTAATGATTTTTTTTTCAACATTTTGATATATTTCAAATGAAATTTATGATGAACGAAATATTTCAGAGTTATTCTCATTTACATAATAAGGATAATAGTTTTTACGGCAATCGGATACCAACTGCGTATAGATAACTTCTTATTTTGAATCGTGCAGTTATTATTCTTTAGTATTTAAATTAGAATAATTCGGACCCTTTTGTTTAAATGTTTTGTTGTTTAAATTTCGATAAAAATACGTCTACATTTTCAGTCAAATCACCTGATTGACAATTTGCATTAAAACATGTTTCATTAGAAAAACCAAACTTGGTATTGTCACAGGATACTCCTTAAGGATACACTTAAGTATTTTAAAAAATATAAGAGTATGAAAATATCATCTTTTACTACACTTAAAAATTACAAATATCAGAATTTGACTTTATGCATAATTTAACCATATACACGGAGTGAGTACTGAACATGCTTAAAAAATCACTCTGTATATTGTTATAGATATTTAAGAAAAAAAAATTAATAGGGAGATACGTCCCACTCACCTCCTCCATTTGATTGCCCCTTAAATATAGCGTATTGAAAACGTATATTTGATCAAAATGAAACGAAATTATTTAATTAATTACTTGAATTAGTAAGTATGTTACATTTTGTTTCAAAAGAAAGTTTATGCCTCCTACAAGTATTAATATGGAGGAGACTATAAAAGTTGAAGGTAAAGGTGATGTAGGCAAAAGTAAATTGCCTGAGCAACCTGATGAAAATTGTAGTTGTAGATAGAGAAGTCCAATTCTCAAAACTCAAGAAAAATTGATATCATTTGATAAATTCAATATTTTAATCAAAAATATAATTTGTTATAATTTAGTTTATGTTGATTTTATATAAGAGATGGGTTGTGAGGGCTTAATTCCCAAGGCTTACTTTTTAATACATTTTCATATCCCCACCAATACAAAATCCTGAGAACGTCTTTTAGAACTTAGATTATTAACTATCGTTTAAACAGTTTAACTCATAATTGGGTTATCTACTTTTTTAGTATAGTAGAGTAATTTGAGTGTGTCATTATAAAAAATTATAATAACTATAGCTAAACAAACAAAATCCGATGTTTACGACTACAACTCAAATGAAATGTATTCAAACTAACTTTTTCGGCATATAAAAATGTGTAAAAAAAGGTGTTTTAGAATAATGGTGACGGGAACAACCATTGTTGTAGGTGGAAATTTGGAAAGGTAGGATACAGAAGGGAATTTAATGTAAAAAATGAAAACAACACCATTGTTTGGGGTAATATTGATTTTCAATCTACTCGATTAACAGAATATATATTGAAGGTTAAAAAGAAAGACGTCCTAGAATAATGGGGATGGGTGCAGCCACTGTTATAGATAATTTAATGTATACCTGTAAATAATAATAAACTATTGCTTACAAAGAAACGATTCTGAGCACAGTACAGTTGATTGTAATGTTTTGCCAACGATATATATATCTCATTTTATATTAAAATATTTAAATTGGTTTTATATATTATCTTTAATAATATTTATTTAATGTTGTACTAGTTTTCCCAGTTTTACTACGTCTTTACCGGTTTTCCCATGTTTTATCCCGTTTTTTTTTAAATTTGAAGAGAAAACTCTTAAGAAATACGAAAAATGACCTCTCTAAAGTACTTCGCAAGTGAATTTTTTTTTTAGAAACATTGCTATCATTCAAAGTTGGAGCAAAAGTGCTCAGTAGAAAAGTTGCCACCGGAAAAAAAAAATATAAATATCTTTGTAAAACTAAATGCTTCTTCGCTCTACTCAGAATCTAAAAATATATTTTCTTGGGATGCAAAATACTAAAAAATAACAGGTCATGGAGGCATCCATCCCCGAAACCTCTCTCTGTCCAAGTAAATACACTACTTATTGAACTTAGAATTGTATTGTATTATATTATATAAGTTCAAGACTAGTTCACTAGGTATTTATACACTGTATCAAGGCCGCATAATGGTAAAAAATAATAATATTATGATACTAAGCGGGTAAGCGTTGGGTATTATAAATCTTACGGTAAACCAAGGTACTTTTATAGATAATATGATATGTAAGATAAAGTATTAATTAAATGTGTAGACAGCGTATAGTTACTGATGTAATAGGCTGTTATTAATCAAATAATTTAACATTGCGTGAGAATACGTGAATATTATATAGGTGTATCTACTAATGTGTTGTATGGAATAGTCACGAAAGTAGAAGAATTGTTTTTATAAAAGTATTATTTTCGGGCACGTTATATACTCAAGTTTTTCTTCCCTTCCAATCTAAGGGCTTACTATTGTCATTAAGGTAGAGTAATTTTATTTATTTTATCTGATTTTATTTTAATTCTGAATACTTTCTTTTCATACATAATATACCTTTATAACACCGCGGTGACGGTTGTAATTTAATTTATACGCATCACGAATGACGAATTATTACGTGAAGATTTTAACAATAGATAAAATGAAACAGGTAAGTATCTAACTTCAAGTTCATGTCGATTTATTTTCTTTACATTTTATTTTAGTTTAGAAGATTTAGCATTATGTTTTTAAGTTGTAAAAGTTCCTTCACTTTTTAGATTTTAGATATGAATTGTCTGTAAACAACTTTTCTGTTAGAAATCTTACTCCAACCACCAACTTCAGAGGTGGTTTTGGTGCATTGAGTGGGAAATTATGTGATATTATTTAAGGTTTTCTTAATAAACACAGAAAACCCGATGGAAAACACAGCGGAAAAACAGGAAAATGTATACAACAAAGATTTCTTTTATTTTCAAGTTTGTTTTTTTGTGTAATTCAGTTCAACAACAATCGTAGAGATCTGAAATATTCACCCAATACTTATATAAGCACTTTTTAGACATGATACAATTTTTAAAAAAATTAAATGTTTTTTTGAACTATTAAAAGGCATTTGAAATTGTCAAGTTCTTATTTTTATTTGGTCTTATATAAATGTAATTCTTTTTGCCTATCAAAATTGTTTGAAAATTTAATAATATCTATAAAATATTATGTAAATAATATTTGATTATATATTTTATGAAATAATTTTGATGAATCCATGCATCATTACTTGATTTTATTTTTCCATTTAGAGATGTTAGCAGTAAAAAGAAAGAAAATTACAAAAATTGTTTGTTTAAAATATTTAAGAGTTAACCGATTATATTTAGAGTAAATAAATATATAAATACAAAATATATACATAGAAAAAAAAAATAAAAATAAATGAATAAATATTTTGATTAGTGTATAATACCATTAGTTTCAAATTAAAAATTCATTATTAGGTATATCTCATTATATTTATATCATTTTATAAACTTTAGATATTTAGGTAGCTATTTGAGTAAACACAACAGATTTTAAATATCAGTTAACAAAAAANTATTGAACAGTGAAATATATTTAATTAATATTTTCAATTATTATTGAAGAATTATCTAAATATAATTGTTAAAACACAATATTGTTATTTAAAAAAAATGTATAATTTAAACAAAATTAATGCAAAATGGAATGCTTATTGTTCCATCAAAACTAATGTTTACTTTCAATTTATCTAATTTTAAGATATCTGTGTTTAAAAATTTGTTTATACCTTCAAAAGTAAAATTTGGACTGTGTATACTTAAACTTGTTATTGACCGCCCCTTAAGTTTGTTTACTAGAACATCAAACCATCTGTCACCAGTTACAATGCAATTTCTAAAAATTATAGTTTCTAAATCATGATTTATGTTAAGCAAGTTTTGTAGAAACCTATCACTAGCTATTTTATGGTCCAAGCGAAATTGTTTCAAATGTCTGAAACTAAGATGTAAATTTGTCATGTCGATAAAATTAGGAAACTTGCATTCAATGTAGGCTAAATTCTGTATATTTGAATATACTTGACCTAATTCATACAGAGTATGCTGGGTATGTGATTTAACATTTATATGACTGAATATTAATGTTGTAAGATTTTTCAAATATGTAAAATCCGTAGAAAAATATATTTCAAGATTATATTTGATTTCTAAAACTGTAATATGCTTATATATTGTATCTGAGTAATGAATAGAGGAATCACAAGCATCTAAATATGTTTGAATCGTTCTACTACCAATCTCAAAATGGGCTGGTGATAGATGTAAAAAGTTGTCAAATGCAGTTTTAGTATAGAAATATTCTACTACAAGTCGCGGATAATTATTGCAATGTATCATCCCAATTTGCTTTATTGTGTGTGAATCTGATTGAATAATACTCTGCCATCGTCTGCACACAAATGGTAGAACTACAATAAAATCCTTGGCTGAAACGTTTCGGAATATTTGGAGTAAAATTTCATCAGGTAGTTTGTTAATGCAAATTTGGTCGGTTTCCATTTCTGCAAAATCATACAATAAAAATAACTATTAAATATTGTTATTTTATTCAGTTAAATTACAATATTCTTTCAGATTCATAATCTTTAGGTAAATTGCCCTTTAATATTATAATTATTAAATATTGATACCTATTAAAATTGTATAGTCAAATTATAAAAAATGTCACCTTTGAGTTGACTGGCTTTTTTTCCTGATCATCAGGTGTTATAAAATTATAATTTCAAAATATTATGCATTGAATGTTGTATGTTTTACATATAATACACAGATAAAGCAGTTATAGAAAATTGGATAAAAAATTAATAAAATCTTAATCAGACGAAATACATTTCAAGAGGTTCTAATATCTATAAAAAATATTATTATTTTTTGTTGATTACTTTTAACATAAAATTATAGTGGAGAACAGAAGAGGTCGTACGCATTTAGTGTTATTGCATTTTAACCGAATTGGAAGTGATTGAAAAACACTGAAGAAAAAAAACAATTAGATAATACCGCACGAGGAATACTCAATGAGTTATAACATAAAAAATAACTAATAAAATAAAAATGGTACCTAAATAATTTAATAACTGAAATGACTAATCATTAAATGCAGTTCTTTCGGTTCATCTTTTGTATTTACTATCATTATTATTTATTATCATTATAATTATTATACTGTATTATGCTGATAACTATACTATAGTTGATTTTATGAATTGTGCCCATTGACAAGAGGCGCCTAGTAGACTATTTGACGCAGGGGCTCCAAAAAAAACACGATATAAAGCGCGGCAAATTTAAATTTATTACTTATTTGTTTATTATCTTAAAAATGTCTATTTTTTACACCGTTATTTAAATGCAGTATTTCATAATACAAATTATGAAAAATTCAGATAATTTAGTTTCACGATTTTTATTTGTCTGCAAATAAAAATAACACAATTAATTAATAAAACATTAAAAAAAATTATGAGAACCATGGTTTGTAGAAATACCGTCACAAGGTACACCACCGTTGAGGGCCATTTTTTTTTAAAAGCACTATGGGTAGAAGCTTTGACATAATATTATAATTAATGTAATCCCCCTGAGATAGATAACAATATTATTACTACGCTGTACAGTTTCTCATAATAATAATTATTAATNATTTTAATACTTACTACTACTATATTTAATTTATTATTGCTTTGTCCAGTGGCGTGCCCAGTAATTTACAATGGTAGGGGATGGGACAAATGAAAATCGTGAATAAAAAATGAAATCGTCTTTTCTACCCAAATCGACTATGAGAATTGGTAATGTAAAAGCCGGAAACTAAAAGAAAAACCAATTTTTAATCAATTCGTCAATTTATCCGTAGGAAATCTGCTGGAATTCATGATTCTCGATAATAGATTACCTATACTTTGTTGTATTTTTAAAACCGTGAGGGGGGGATTAAATCCCTAATCTCCCACCGTGCACATGCCGTTGGCCTTGTCTGCTTTAACGAAGCGAATTCAGAAATTAAGTCGAAAATAAACAACGGTTTCTTATGATAAAACATGGCTTGTTTATCTCATTGCGCGACCACTGTGTGCAATTTATTTTTATAGGTACAAAAAAACCATCTTATATCGGAGCCACCGTACGACGAAATCAACTTAAAACGGAAAAATCAGTTGGTACCGAGTGATTCCGTTTTAAGGATGTTAAAAATATTTATGTTATATGTGACCCCGTTTGGTTTTCAAAAATTTGAAACATCCGATTTCCTCTCAAAATCATCTGATTGACAACCAACAAATATGGTTAGTGCTCGAGATGATGAAAGACGATGGATCGATAAGGTTTATGCCTTTATTGTCAATAGATGAGTTAATAAAATATCTTTAGTACAGCGAAAATTAGTAGATAACTGTCGACACTGAAATAGTCACTTCCTAAATTTAAATGAATTTATACCTACCATCAATATCCCTTTCATAACCACTATCCATTACAATGGAAATGAGTAAATAACTTTATAGTCATTACTGTGGATCTATATCTTAAATAAACAATTGATTAAATGATATTTTAATTATTTAGTTAAATAATGAAAGGAATATTAATTCCAAATTTATATACAGGTATCCCACAAAGTCCNCTGTATTATAGCTTTTGATATCTATACTAAGGTAGATTCCACGAAAAGTTGCCATCAATGGTGGCGCGCCTAGTAGACTATTTGACGCAGGGGCTCCAAAAAAAAACGCGATATAAAGCGCGGCAAATTTAAATTAATTACTTATTTGTATATTATCTTAAAAATGTTTATTTTTTACACCGTTATTTAAATACAGTATATCATAATACAAATTATGAAAAATTCAGCTAATTTAGTATCACGATTTTTATTTGTCTGCAAATAAAAATAACACGATTAATTAATATAACATTAAAAAAAATTATGAGAACCATGGTTTGTAGAAATACCGCCACAAGGTACACCACCGTTGAGGGCCATTTTTTTTTAAAAGCACTATGGGTAGAAGCTTTGACATAATATTATAATTAATGTAATACCCCTGAGATAGATAACAATATTATTACTACGCCTACTACTAATAGCAAGTAGTAACTGCACTGTATAGTTTCTCATAATAATAATTATTAATACATATTATTATTATTGTATATTTTAATACTTACTACTACTATATTTAATTTATTATTGCTTTGTCCAGTGGCGTGCCCAGTAATTTACAATGGTAGGGGATGTGACAAATGGTAAAATCTCACTTTGTGGTCAAAAAAAAATTTAGTTTAATTTAGTATTTTTTTTTTATAAAGGAACTTCAATATAAAATTTTGACGAAAATTGTTTGAGTAAAAAAATGATGTGGAACAAATCTAATTTTTCCATTTTTTCATTTTGAACATACGTATACTGCCGATTTATGAATGATGGTGAAGTCAGAGTTGAGAGGATTAACTAAATATTGAATATTATAGCATTTTGAAGTCTTTTTTCAGGATTAGGACCGTCAAAATTATTATTTTAATGTGGGCACGGTTAAAAATGTTTGTTTTGTTTTTGCTTAGTACAACAATATGTCATGTATTTCCAAAAAAAGTGACCGGCAATAATTTAGTAGACTTGAAGTTCAAGTATTGTGTAAATTTCTTTTAATTATTTTAAGTCTTGTGAACTTAAAGTTTCAATTTGACTTTTTTCTTTAAATACTGATTGAATGGGTAAATTTACATTCCCTAATGAATGTTTCATCAACGGCTTTTCTTTTAAAATTATTATCTGTCGATTTATTTATTGCCCAGCTATAACTGTGACCTTTTTGTGGGGAGACAATCTACCATTCTTGCAATTTTTCTTTACACAGTAATACCTATTACAAGTATTCAGTATACACACAGTCTACCTATAGTAATAATAGTATACTAATTCTAGTGAATATTATAATATAGGTACGTAAGAGTTTATAGTCGGTTTTACAAATGATTTTTCATAATGACAATAATAAAAAAAAAAGAACTATAATAATTTGCTTTCCGGTTGCCGTTTATTTAACATACACGAAAAGGTAAATCGTTTAAGTTGTCAATCCGAATCACGCAAGACAACAAAACAAAGGAAATAAAAATCGGAAGTCTTGCGTTTATTTTTCTTGTGCACGCACCGACTGTATTGACTAATCCATATTATTTTCGTAAAGCGAGTAAAATCTGATAGTTGATAGTCTGCAGTGTACATTGCTGTCTGGTAAACCATAATACCTATAGTATTAAAATAATATGAAGAAAACATTTCAAACTCATAAAAATAAAAAACTTAAAGGTTTTTACGATTACGTGTATACTATTACATTGAGGAAATCCAATGGCATACAAATGTATGAAAAACTAATTTTTTAAAAGTGAATTTGGTAAAAAACTAAGTAAAAATATAAAACACATGAGTAGAAGAGCTCTGTTACTAGAGTCAAATTTCCCCCAGCTAGCTCGTTGTCTTTAAAATATTTTACATTTTTTTTATAATGATAAGGAATTGATTAAACAAGTTTTATTAAAATAGGTAAAATAGTTCTGCAGTAAAAATAAACAAATTTTTTTATTTTCATGAGTCTTTAAGGTTTAAAACCTGATATTGTTTGTGTATATGTGCAATTTAAGCATAAAAATATTTAAGAACGGGTTGAAAGTTAAAAACACCATAAGACACATCTTTGATACTTATATACCATAAATATATAAAAATATAAACCCCTGGCTTCATTTAGAGGATCACACAGTTGAAGTGTATACATCTAAAAAACTACCTCTTCTTGTAATAACATGGTGAGATTCACCTAAAATTTTATCACTTCAATCCGTCAACAGAAAAGTACTCTAGTTTCTTAGTTTGAGCACTTTTGGTTCAATAGATAGTCGCTAAAACTGACTTAATACAGTGCAAAAGTTGCTATTTTCTGAAAAATTCTACCTAAACTACTATAGTCTTGAAAATTAAACTAACAAATTGTTTAGAATAAATCTAAATTAGTTTATGTCAAAGGATACAATCGGTTATTATAATATAGCTAAGAATTTCAGTTTTTGAGTAACGAGTATAGATTATAGAGTATATTTATAACATGTTCTTATTGGAGGGGGAGGCGATATAATAGTAATTTTTGGGGGAAATTGCTCTTTTAGATTCAAAGCGAGGCGAAGAATCTATAAGTTCAATAGATCTATAGATCAATGTCCGTGATGTTTAATGTTCACAATTTATAATAAACTATATTATACCTTCCTACTGATCTTGAATAAACTACCTATATTTCACTTAAATTACTTTTTTTCTTAAATATTATAATGATTAATTTTGCATGCGATTCCGTTTAGGTAGTATACGTACTCGAATATATAACAACAATACAACATACAATTTTATTAGAAAATTATAGATATGTACATTGGTAAATTAGCAAAAAAAAAAACTAATATTTTACGATGTCTTAGAACATTATGACGCCGCCTTGTAATGGCACCCGATTCCAATGACCTCCTGGGCTATTAATACATCCCCAGTTATGGATATAATTTGTAATTCGCGAACGAAAAAAGTGCATAGCTATTGATTAAAATGTACGGAAACACGTTCCGGCCCCATCGATGTAATATTAATTTTAATGGTACCTATCCTATAAAATCTAAAGTTCTATTTATCTACTATTATTATACACAATAATAATTATTCGTTCTTACTATTTAATTGCTACAAAAATAAATTATAATTCGCAGAGACGCTGCAATCTAGGTACGTTGACCTTTTACTTAAAAGTATTTTAGGTACAGAATATTATATTATATTATAATCGTTTATTATGTACCGATAAAAACATGAATAAAATTTAAGTACTTATATATATTCAACGGTTATATATAAATTAATTTTTAGTTCCTAAGTCCTTAACTACAACGCATAAGTACCACGGTATAGGTATTATTATTATAGTATTGTACAATCCATGGTCGTCGGTCGGTGGCAAAGTCTGCGCGTGGTATTACAAAACTCTTATATTAAATCAGACTGCATAACGAAAATACACACGCAATAACGAAAATACGGGTGACAGGGGTGTTTTTTGGACAAATATTCGAGGTTGCCGACCTTGATTTATTGTACGGTGGGTATATGAATAATATTATAATTTTTTCTAGCCACATAATTATATAACATGATAATAATAAACACAGTACCTACCACCTACCTATATTATGACTCAAAGCGTAAAACGCGAATAAGAAATAATGTTCAATGACCCGTGATTGGGGCCATGAAATTTTAAATAAATTATCATATTAGGTAAGTATCCATAAAATAAAAATTAATAGCACAAATTGAAAATACAGATGCCTATCGATAGCCAATTCGCAGATCGTATCAATAATAAGTCTTAAACTAAAAACTCACGCGATTATTTTATAATGTTTTTTTTTTTTTTTATAACCGTATTTTTTAGATATTATACTTATCTTTCTCTATTAACAATTAATTAAACATAGTTGTGAACTTTTTAAAAGTTTTTGATTAATTGGTAGATACTTATAGTATACATACAGAAAAATAAATAAAATCTAGATATTGATTTTAAAATAAAGTTTCAAATGTTATGTAATTACTTAAAAGGATCAAGCGTAAAATAAAATAAGTTTAAAATGTAAGAAAAAAACAATAAGATTTAAATATTGGTTTTGTTGATAAATTAACGTTTAAATTTACGAAATGTTATTGTTTCTTTTTGGCACCCACTACAAAAACAATGGGAATAAAAACATTTACAAAATATAGTTCAATCTGCTACGAATATTTTCTTTGATGCTATACACTCCTCAATTCTTTAGTTTGATCTACGAGCTAATTTTACTACAAAAAATATTGGGCTGTTTCTTAACATTGATAAATGTAAATCTTTGTCCTTCACTCGACGCCGCTATCCTCATTTATTCTCCTATTCAAAATATGATACCGTCCTCATTCCCGTTAATAGTGATGTTTGCAATCTTGGTTTTATCTATGTTCTTTCATTGTGCCTAAGGCCCATATTAATCGTATTACGTGTAAGATAAATAAGGTACTAGGTTTTATAAAGAGAATCGCAGGAAATTTAAATTGTTAAAGTCTTTAAAGGAGTTTTACTGTGCATTAGTCAGGCCCATCCTTGAGTATGGTCCCGTGGTGTGGAATCTTTACTCAATGATATACTGCCAATAAATCGACCGAGCCTAGTGTATATTTCTCAGCTTCCCTGGTTTCAAGTTAAACATTATCCATTTGCCTTATATATCCATTGCTATATTTCCTGAGACAGTAGAGATAATCAAAGTCAATTTTTTTTTTTATATATTTATATATACGCAGGGGTAACGTCTACAAATATTTGTATTTGAATTAAATTTTTATGTTTTGCTAAAATAATTTTAAAAAACAACTTTATATTTTATTATTTTCGAAAAATTTGAAGATTGTTGTTTATTCTTCTGAAAATGTTGGCGTTTCAACTATTCGTTTTTGTTAAACTCGTGATTTTTAATAATTTTTTATAGTTCAGAGAAAAGTATCTATAATTATGCATGAGGCTGTAATCACATTCACTAATTTATTATTTTATTAGTGTAGATAATTGATTACTTACACTTTTTTTCTCTGAACTTTAAAAAAATGATTAAAAATCACGAATTTAATGAAAATAAATATTAGATATTTACGTAAAAATGTTCAGAAGAATCTATAACTATAAAACGAATAGTTAAAAAAAAAATAAATAAGACGGTTTTTTTTTACGTTTATTATACATTTTTTTAACGGTAAAATATTGATGTACATAGGTACATAGGTCATTTTAGTTTGTCAAAAATACTCCGACACAATCGATGTATATCTTTTTATAGTATACCTTTTTGCACCAGCGCAATAATATATATATATAGACGGTGTCCTAAATTTGACGCAATTGACAAATATCGTTTTAGTCGTATAGAAATTATTTTTTTTTAATCGTTCGTTACAGGCTTTACGCCGGAAGAAGGGTTTCCGGTCATGGTTTGGTTCCATCCTGGCAATTTTCAGTGGGGAACGCCGATGCATTGGGACGCTTCTGTTTTGGCTGCTCGACACAAAGTACGTACTTATATGTAATGAAAATATAAGAATATTTAAAATATTATTACCTAAACTGCGTTTTAATTGTTCAGGTTTAATATTTTAGATTCTATGTGCAATAAAGAATGTATTGATTTTACTATGATGTATGCTTATTATTATTATAGTTCTTTTTCTGTTTACGAACAACTTTTCTGGCAAAGTTTTTACACTGAAATTCAAGGGTAGAATCTTCTCTGAGATAAGAGAAAGAGAGAGTGAGAGAGAGCAGAAATCAGAGTAAAATCTACATTCTTTGCTTCGCTTAAAATCGAATACTCATTTAGGTACCATTTGTGAGGCGGCAAGGCGCGTGGCATTTTATTAATGTTCCATTACTCTCCCACAATTTAAACTTAAAAGTGGAATATCTTGTTAACGAAAAGACGAAAACCAGAAATGTTGACACTGAAATGTATTTAAAGTAATACTCCGCCTATTTATAGACTTTTTTTTTTACATAGGTTCTCATTTGAAAAACTAAATTTAGTATCATCATTTATCACAGGATACTCTTAAAATGTTGTGAAAAATCTATGAATTCGAAAATATCGACTTTAATCACACTTAGAAATTCCAAAAAATGAGAATTTGAATACATGTAAAATTTAACCCGAAAAATGGGGTGGCACGCTTAGTGAATTACCCTGCATATACATATATTAGCCTTTTTTAGACGCAGTAAAATTTTCGAAACATTCTGACGATTTTTAGTTATTTATTACAACTTAAAATTGTTTAGCTTTTGGTCGGTTTAATAGGAGTAAAAAAAATTTAAAAAGGTTCATTACAACTTGATCAAAAAACACATATGAACTACAAAACTTTCCCACTAGATTAGAATTTTCTCCAAATCGACTTGTTCTACATCTCCCATTTACAAGTACATATTTTAACGAAGTTATTTACTTTCAACTGTGAGAATATTTTTTGTGAAAACATGAAATCTTAGAGTAAAAATATTAGGGAAGTGGGTTGAAAGTAGAAACCACCATAAGGAACATCTTAATATTTACACACATAAGTACAAAATTACATCCCTCTGGCTTCATTTAGGAGATCTGTAGAGATATACAAAACTAAAAATCACCTTTACCCCCTACAATATAGTGAAGTTCATATCTAAATTCAATTAAAATTGTATCTCTACATTTCACCTATAAAAAACTATAGGTTTTTATATTATAGTTTTATAGTTTTTCAAACTAATTCCTTAGCTTGAGCTTGTATATTATGATCGAAAAGGTGTTTAAAGGACCGCTAAAAGTGTTAAAAAGTAACGCGAAATAAATATACATATATAATTTTATATGAAAGATATAATATATACTCTCTATTATTGGGGCAAATTCGATAAAAAAAAAGTCACATAATTGTATAGTTTTTTTTAGAAACGTTTTAATTTTTAAGTCTAAAAAGAAAATATATTCAAGCATTTGAAATAGAACGAAATATTGTGAATAATCATGTATAAGTGAATACTTTTTATTCGATCGCATACGTTTTTAAACCAATGAACTGTAATGTCAAGTATTTCCTTACGTTTATTTAATAGAAAAAATTCATCACGCAACACTTTAAAAAAAAAGCCCTCCTTGCCACGCATGTAACATTTATTATGGTTATAAATGCGTACACACGTGGGTATAACGCATATTTATATAGGTACCGAGCCGAAGACATATAGCTAAGAATAACTATCCCAAGAGAGGCACGCTATGATAAACGTCTATCCCTAGAAGATTTAAAAAAAAAAAAAAAAATCGGAACATCCTACAGTGTCATAAAAATCCAATGTTGGTCCACGTAATAAAAAATGATTTTCATTTTGATTTTATACGAAAATGACTCACTTTCGTAGTTCCGTATTTCATTTGTTATAATTTAAAATTAAAGAGTAAATTTGCATTTATAATTTTATTATTAGCATCTCGTATTTAAGGAATAACATATAGGCAATTCTCTCGACATTTTGTAAAAGACAAAAATATTAACATTTATTTTTAAATACAAGTAAGTACAAGTTAATACAAGAAGTTCTGTGTGTTTATTATATTCGTATACAATGTACAAGTGTGAAATTAAACAAATACTTAAAAACTAAAAACTTCTCGGGATTAAAAGTGCTTTACCTTGCAATAAAGGGAACCTGCATTGTTCAGTGCAGGTTTTAGTTTTTCGATTATAAAAATGATAAAATTAGTTAAAACAACTTAAAATTATTTCATTTTAGAACAATAATAAGTACGAGTATAACTTTTAGATTCTAAACGTTGCGAGGTTGGTAATGTTTTGGTTTTAAAATGATATGTGTTTTTTTTATTTTTGTCTATTACCAACTTTTCTACATGAAATTTTGTTCCAATCAAAAATTGACAAAAGAGCTTTTATAATTTCGAATTTAGTTGGTACATAGAAAAGGTAGTTCATTAATTTTTAAAGCAATTTTCATAATAATCGAGGAAAAAATGTGTAAGAAAAACAAACAAATTCAGGGCAATACAAGTTTTATAAGAGTTTTTTTATTATTTTATTATCAGATTTTTTTTCTTATCAGGAACATTGCTCCGAAATTCAAGTATAACATTTTTTCTGAGAAGAAATTTGATCTTGTTGAATCATATGGAGATTGTTTTTGGATTAGTAGTTTTTTCAATAATTGGAAAAATCGGGGGAAAATTAGGAAAAGGAAATAAAGGTTTCCTTACTTTTAATTTAATTATTTTGTTGTGATTCGGTTGAAAATAATTATAGAGATCTGAAACTATTAAAACAATAGTTATATTAGCTTTTTCTAGACGTGGTACAATTTCCGACACATTCTAGTGACTTCCCAGATATTTATATAGGAATTCGACATTTTTTAGTTTTTGGTATTTGTTTGGTTCTTTGTGGAAACAATTGTTTTGACCGATCAGAATTTTTGAAAATTTAATACGAGAACAATCGTAATTTAATTTGATGTAAAAAAAAAAAAAAATTGTTTAGTTTTATGTAGTATTTTATTTTTATAAGAAGTTTAGTTCAAATTTTGATGAAAATCGTATAAATCACGACATTTCAAAATATGTTTTACTGAACATCATTCGGAATCGTATTTCGTTAGTAATGGTTTTATCGTTGTACTGATAAAAAATAAAATAATTGTATGTATTCTACCTTTCTAATTTTTCACCAATAATGGTGACTCACCCATCAACAGTATTCATCTCATGTTTTTTTAAAATTTAAAATTTATCGAAAACTAAAACCGATGTGTGCAAATTTGCCCTTTTTTTTATGCTGAAAATTCTGTTTCATAATTAAGCCTAACTAATTAGTATCCACGTAAAATTGTTTTTACAGATGGATCGCGGGCCCTTATAATTTATAAAATATTTAGTATTTATAATGATATACGTAGGTAACGAGTTTTTTGTGATATTTAAACATAACATTATAGCTGTTGTGTAACACAAAATATTAAATCAACGAACGATGTACGTATTATACACTAAAACATAGTGTGTACAGTTTCATAACACGTCATTGTCTTAAGGATTATTTTAACGATAACAAATTGATCGATGCTGTTACGGTTACTTAACCAGTTAACCTACTCTTCTGTTGTGTAAACTGTGTAGTACACATATAACTCCTACCCCTCATTCCACATTACATTTCACGTCACAATTGTGACGCTCTATACAATAATTATTATTAGTATTAGTGATTGATAATACAATGAGCTATTATAGTAATGTCACATAAATCCGGATTATGAGACAATTCAAAAAATACGGATTTGGGACTTCAAATTCCAAAAATTCCTATTTTGAATTTCAAAATTCGAATTTTTGATTTTTGAAATCTATTGCATATTGTGTATATATTTTTGCAATTTGTATGTTTTAAAGTAATGTATTAAATGATTTTTAACAAAAAAATAATTAAAAATGTATGGAATCCGGATTATCGAACTTTGACAAATCCGGATTTTTCCCACCACTTTAAACTATTCTAAAACTGGTTTTAACCGCCCTCTTCTTTTGGTCGCGCACTTTTGTTCTTATATAATATAATTTAATATTGTATATACAGGTGATCGTGGTGACAACAGCGTTTCGGCTGAACATACTTGGCTTCTATACGGACAACACTGCGGTCGCACCGGGCAACTGGGGACTGATGGACCAGGCGACCGCGTTGGACTGGGTCCGGAAGAACATCGATAGCTTCGGTGGTGCGCCGCACAACGTAACGGTGTTCGGACAGGGCTCGGGCGCGGTAAGCGTGGGCTTGCACGTGGTGTCGCCGTGGTCCCGAGATAAGTTCCAGCGGGCGATCAGCATGAGTGGTAACGCACTGATGCGGACAGCCGTAGTCTCGTCAAGTGGATCGGAAGAAGTGCTGACTAAGCTGGCTGATAGGTTCAACTGTTTTTTAAACACGTTGACCGGGTGCCTGAAAAACGTGGACGCCGACGAGCTGGTTAAAGTGGGCACTTCTTTGAATATAAACTGGGGCCCGGTGATTGACGGCCCGGTGCTGGTCAACAACAGTGAAGGCCGCGAACCGTTCTTGCCGGACGCGCCGGCCGAGATGATGGCTAACGGCCGGTTTACCGCGGTCCCGCATTTAATCGGCTACAACCGAATGGAGGACGCGTACGATGCGTTCGCGGAGGACGAAGACAATGGTATCAGCGGTGAGAGTATTACCGAACGAACGAGAAAAGTGAGAGAACAGTTCGAGGCCTTGGTTCGGGACATCACGATGGACGACTTCGAAGATATGCAACTAAGGCGACGGTCACAGCAACCGACGGTTGTTCCGGCGTTGGCGGACGAAACTTCTGACGGCGGCAGTGCCGCCGGCGGTGGCAACAACTATGAAGATGGAAACTGTACAATAAACGCAGATTTCGTAGTGGACACATTGTTGATGCGGTACGCCCGGCAAACGGACGACCCGGAAACGCTGCGTCGGAACTATGTAATAATGGCCGCCAACAAGAAGTACTGGGCCACCAGCTACCGTGTAGCCGCGTATGTCTCGCGGTACAACGCGACATACGTGTACCGGTACGAGTACAAGCTGCGTGTGGCCAAGGCACTGCTCAACGCGGCCGAGTGGATGGACGCTCCAAACGGCGCCGAGCTGCCTATGGTGTGGGGCATGCCGTACTGGTCGACGGCCGTGGCCGGCGACTGGACTGCCGCCGACCGGCGGATGTCTGACATGGCCATGTTCATATGGACCAATTTCGCCAAGTACGCCGACCCGGCGTACCGGAACCCGGTGTTCAACGTCAAATGGGACGCGTTCCAGCCCAGCAATCCCCGGGCGATGGTATTGGACAAGGTATTGAACATGTCGGCCGTCGACCAGGAACCCGAGTTTTGGAACGACTACTATCCCAAGGTGGTGGCCGTTTCAATGCAGTGTTGCTACAACTACACCGTCGAATCGGCCGCCACACCGTCGGCCCCGCACTTAGGTCTGCGCGGTAACGGATGGCCGTCGGCGGTACTGTTAACGGTACTGCTGTCGCTATCGCATGCCGCGAGCTTTTCGCCTATCGCTTGAGCCACACCGCCAACGCTACAACCGCACACGATACAATAATAATATTAAATACGCGTTTTGTAACTCGTCATTTTCTCCGGCGTCGCATACCAATATTATGTATATTGTATATTGTATAGTGCCTAATTCTTTATTCACGTTCTCATGCAGCGTCAGACCGTCACCGCGAGAACGAACCTAGTTTATCGCGGTGTATATACGATAGCCGGCACGGCCAACGCGAAGAAGTTGAACGACGAATTTCGGATTTCGTCAACATCGAAGAATAATATTTATTATTATTACGCGCAACGGGCGACACTGACGAGGGCTTGGAAAATTTGTCTTTATTCGGATGTTAACGTGACACTGATTTTTCAACCCGACCCATGGGTACCTATTTTTAACATTGCACTTAAAAACCAACGCGGAATACGGAAAATCGGCAAAATTATCCATTTTCATTATACATTTTTGTGTTTTTTTTTTTTTGTTTTTAGTATAAAATACACTCATCACTATTGCGCATTTTTGTTATTCGACGATGTCCATGGTATAATATATACCTATATATAGGTACGCTGAAACAATTTTTAATTTTTATTACAATGTGCTTATACGGTATGCATTCGTTTTTTTTTTTTTTTTTTTATATATAGTGTATAATATTAACATAAAACATCGTATGAGAAATGTACATTTATTTTATTTTTTTTTTTTGAAAGATTTTCTTTTAGGTTTTTCAATAAGAAAAAAAAAATCGAAAAAATAGATAAACCCCTTTTTTCTTGTTATCATAAACTAAGGTTTACGTGGTATTATATGATTCGCAGTATTACTATTTAGACTTTAGTTGTAATATAATGTACTATATCCTATTTAACTGTGGTGGTATATAATATTGTTACAGTAGTATAATATTCTTATATTTTTTAGAACGTAGAACGAACGGGTTACAGGAAAAAGTATTGAAAAATAAAACAACTTAACGGTTATATTTAAATAAGTACTTACTGATATTTTCTTTATAGCACATAGGTATATTATTAACTCTACAGTATAGCGATTTAAATCAATTCTACTTCAATCGATCCTGCCGAATGCCGATGTTATAAAGCGATAAGAATTATTTTGAAAACAGATTTGAATTCAGCGTGAAGTGTACATGATACATCGGAACATGTCCCTTTTTGAATTTCAGTACCTAGTTCTCAAAAATTTGACTTGTCAATAATAAAATGTGTACACATCTTATACTATACAAACATAAAATGGACTAAATTGCGTATGTGTTCTGATAGCGTACGTATGAATCTATATAAGTTTGGAATGTACAAACTTGGTTTCCAGATTTCCCCCTTCTCCCGGCTATCGGTACTCTTTTTTTTTCTGTGTGTGTGTGTGTATTAGAGTCTAATAGTTACACAATGAAAAACAAACACGGTATTTATTTTTCACTTAAAATATACCTACCTACTATAATAATGTTTGATTCAACGCTGTTTAAATTGTCTACAAATACCTAATTAATTGATCTCAACAATTGACGTACATGTAACTTTTTTTATGAACATAATATTATATAATTTATTATAATATTGTTAAATATGCACAAAAAACACTTTAGATGTACCGCAATGTACACTATCTTTGATACCAGTGGAGAAGGGGTTAAGTTAATTTATTTTGTCTAATGAAATTTGTTGGTCTAAATTACATAAATCACATAAGTGTACGTATTTTCAAAATGTAATCAGCTTGTATTGAAAACTATAAAATCTTGGCTAAAGCCCTTCATCTCTGGACCAAAGACATATTACATATATAGGTACACAATTTGTCTAGTATACAAAGTATACAACTATTTTTACTAGCACATTATATTTTTAGAATTTAGTAATGCTTTGTTCAGAAATGTTCTATTATATTGTAAATGTACACTGTTAATATTATATTTTTTTTTTCATGTTTACACTGACAGCAGTGGAAGATCTGTTTTCACAATACTACCCCACTGCTGCCATCGTTTATTAATAAATAAAATTAAATATTTAGTTAAAATCTTGTTTTTCTTCTCACGGGACAGGCTCACATCATAATTAAGTATACTAATTAATACTAAAGCTGTGGCATGAGCTGTGTAACCCACAACATTCCCTTTCAAAATGTTAACTTAAGCCTAACCAATACATGACTTTGAGCCAATGGCTGGGTCTTAGTCAGCGTAGACCTTAATGTCAGAAGGTGTCCGAGGACCGGGCGAGGCTTTGCCCTCGCCTCCGTCTTCCTGATTCTCTTATCTTGCACCATGTGGCACAGACTGTCCTCCACCATGCGGTAAAAACATTGTGCGTCGTTGAGAGGTGGAAATAAGCTTCTAATGTCTAAACGGATCGTCGTTCTTAGATGACAAATCGGCAGAGCCGCAAAACAGGTCCTGGAGAAATGATTCTATAAGCTTTCAGTATTTGGTGGGTTCTCAGTGGAGACAGTGAAAGAAAGTGTGCTTAACGGTGATGGCAGTAAAGGCACTCGGCATCAGATGGTCTAATCACATCCGCTTTAGATATTATCTGAAACACCCGTAACCTGAGAGGGTCTGTGTGAAGTGGAATGTCAGGTCTCTCTGGCATCGAGAACCAAAAGGTCGCTGGGGCAAACGCCAGCCAGAGCAGGCAACGTGGTATACGGAGTACTTTGTCACTCTGCTGGCCCAGGTCAGGGAGGCGTACAGCAGCCTGCTGTTTACTATCAACATAAGCAGCTAAGACTGGGACGGCTCATCCAGGTTGAGCACAAGCAGTCCAATAGCGAGAGCTGTCTGCTTAGCTATAGCAGAGACCGTCCGAAGGACTGTTACTATTGCGGACATGTTATTAGATTACCTAACACAATATAATAGATAGATTAGATAGGTACCCCACACACATGTTTAACATTTTAAATAATAAATTATAATTTTAAATCTACGTAATTGTTTAAAAATAACTGTACAAATTTAAATCGTTGGTAAGTATGTTATATTTTAATATTACAACTGCGTTGTGTTATTATTATTTTGTTTATATTAAAATCCGACGATAAAATAATAGTAACACTTACCTTGATGGTTGGTTTTATCAAAATACTAGCTGTAACTTGTTAGTGCAGCTACAAAAACTGATCGAGTGATTAGCTTACCTAGTGCGCAATTTCGAACAAAAACGTAATAAAAACTACATTTAAATAAAGTAAATAAATATATAAATAAAAAATTTATATATAAATTAATGAATAAATGCATCGCCTGGAGTATTATAATACGACCGGTTTCGAATTGAAAATTCATCATCAGATATACCACAGTGAAAATGTAAAACGCGACTGAATATAAAAAATTAAATGAAGGAATACAAAAAAAAATAAATTATACAAATTGTTGTTTTAAACAGAATTACATAAAATTAGTTATTTTTAGACATAGATATGTTAAGAAATATATATTATTTGGTTATTATGTAAATGTATTGAGATATTATTTTTAAAAGCGATTTTTCCATTATTTGTATTATTGTTCAGAATTTTAGCAAATAAATTCACAAAAAATAAAATTCCTTCAAAGCTCAAAAGTGGCTCAAAAGTTTTGGTGAAAATACTGTAAGAAAGTAAATCAAAATGCAACACAAAACGTTTCTTGTGATTTTTCGATTAAATCATTTTTTTTCTGGTATAAAACGTGGTCCCTGTTTTTATTAAATAATGAAATCATGAAAGTGTAAGTTTTTCCCATTTAAGGGCATTTATTTTAAAAATTGTTTCGAAAATCAAAAAATGACTTCTTTAAAGTACCATCTAGACAACTTGAACTTTCAAAAAAGTTGTTATACATATAGAATAGAGCAAGTTTACTAAGAAAAAACGTGTCTACAGACTAGAAAAAAAAGAAACATCTTAGTAAAACCAATAGCTGCCTCGCTACGCTCGGAATCTAAAATAAAAAACGTCCTAGGACAATGGGAACGGGTTCAGTCTCTGTTTAGATAATTTAATGTAAACCTGTGTACCTTTTTTTTTGGTGCTGAATGATAATCCACCATTGTTGATTCAGTTGACACATGGTGTAAAAGAAAAATCATTAACAGAGGCATCTGCCGTTTGACTGCTAGTAGATGCATTTTCCTGAAGAATTGCATAAAATTCTTATTTAATAGAATAAAATAAGTAGAAAATATAAACAATATTTAAGTCAGTGGTTAAGTAAAATAAATTCGGTAAATTATATTATAAAATATAATATATATATATGTACTATACGTTATAATTCAGTAAATAGGTATCAATTTTAAGATATACCTACCTCTTGCATGATGTTATTTGAAGTTGAAAACAATGATAGGTCAATACAAGTTAATGATGCACCTTGATGAATAGCACCTTTCTTTAACTGCTTCATTTTATTGCATATCTGGAAACATATTATTTTAACAAAAATTCATTTGTTTTTCAGGTATACATAGGTATATTTGCTTTATATTGTTTTAAATGTTCGCTGTATCTTTTTGAAGTACTTACGGTATAATAATTATTTAAACCAGAATTCCAGCAACGTATTATATCACTTTCATTAAAATGAGAAACACATGTGCAGTGGCTCTTTTTTAATTTTATGCCTAAATTTTCCTTCTATTTACATTTTTCCTACTCATTCTTTGGTACTCCAAAAGTGGTGTTTGCCACAGAATGCGCTGAACGAATGTAACAAGTCATCTTTTTGAGTACTTGTATTAAAGAGTAATTTTTAATTTTTTATACATCTATAGAAGATATAAAATAATATAAAATGTAATCTACTGTCATGCTATCTATGATCGCAGTCAAAACCATGTATACTAAATCTTGTAAATTTTTGAACCAACAGAGTGCGCTATAATACAATCAGTTTTTTCATTAAAATATGTTTTCGTGTCTATAGGTAATAATTGAGTTTATTACCTATATCTGTGGTAATATGTAAGATTTAATTTGAAATACCCCTCCCCCGCCAAATGATAGATTAGGTATCACGTAGTTATAGTAACACTGTAGAGCCTACAACTAACATGGATTTTTTTGGCATCTGCTTAACAATTAGCTATCTAATTTATTATCTATATCTGTGTTAGTGAATAACAATATTATGTATATATCAAAATATACACCAATAATTATAAAAATTTGGCGGGTTTCTAGCGGTTCATCAGAATAATTGTATTAAGTTCATAACATCAATAAGTATAACCGACAACGCTCGTGAGTAAATTTTAAACTAAAATTGCCTCAGTAAGCAGACACTTGATAAAGACATGTAGTCGGACCTGTTCTTCTAAGACCGTGACCTATATGATATCGGTAGGTATAACAATTAATGTATATGATAACAGTAAGTATACTGTTGGCATATGATAACGGGAGGTATAACCGTGTTAAGAGTAAGTATAGTCACGATAACTAAAATGATAAGGATAGGTATAGTCGAAAAAGGGGATGGGGGAAAATATAAGTCGATGAATAGGTGGACAATTTGGGCGGCCGTGTATTAAGTATAGCACCGGCACAGGTTTGGGCGGCAATGTAAAAGTATAGCACCGGATAATGACACCAACACAGGATCATGGTTTAGAACCGGCCTTTTTATACTAGACACTAACATCTTTAAACGTAAATGTTGAAACACTGATATTCGATTAAATTTGATTCAAAATTATTTTTTGAATTCTTTCTACTAATATCATTTACTGCTTTTTGTTTGCAAGCATTCGTCACTTTTTGTGTATCAATATTTGAACATGGACCATTGCATTTGTGTTCTAACGTATAGGTAATTAATACGTACCGAATTAATTTTAAAATATTGAAGAAAAATTAAGATTAAAAAAAATACAATTTTGTACATACGTGTTTTACTGATTAAAATATTGTCGTTATCAACATAAATAGTTGCGGTAAAAGTTTTGATGAAATAGCGAAATATTTGTTTAGACCTATTTGTACGAAAAATTAAATTTGAAACCATGAATTAGAATAATTCTTTTACCACGTTTACTAATTCGTTATAAATTCCATTATGAAAAAATAATATATAAATTCCAATATATTCAATAAATAGGTATATTCATTATTCACTATCGATTTACTAGGTGTTAACGAATTCACACGGCTACGTTGTTGTAATAATCGAAATTTCGTTATTGTTGTCACAATACTCACAGTTAACTCTGAGCCCGATAACACACACGCTACACATGATATAGGTAAGATTGATTTTCATTTATTTATAATAGGTAGAAATTATTACGTGTTAAATCAATTATCTTTAATCTATCTCTATATTAATATCAGATAGTTTATCCCGAGTCTCGACATGTATCGATAGTATTGTATTTAGACTAGGGGTTATCATACTATTCATACTTCATTTAGATAATATAAGTAGAAATAGATTTACGGAAACTAAAATCAAGTTTTTGGCAAAAACGATGACCGCCCAGAGAAAAAACCTTCTAATGCTAATCGATTAAACTGCATTTGCTACCAAAACCCATCCTTGAAGTTGATTATCGTAAAGAGATTTGCTGGTAGAATATTTATTAAGAAACAAAAAAAAAAAAAAAAACCATATCCATATTAGAGTAAGTCTGCTACTCTTACAATCTAAAAAAAATCTTACAATCCAGTATTCTATCAAAAAGTCCAATAATAAAAATAGACTACAATAGTTTAAATATTTGTATAACCGTACAAATTTTACTTACTTTTTACTGCCAGCAGCTCTATCCTATCATACAGTTTATAAAAAATAATGTGAAAATATATATAAAAAAATTCTCTGTATATTAAATAAAATGTCTTGTACAAGGACATTTTGATTTACATTTGTTATGCGTTTTATTATTTACTGATAATTTGTATAATTTATATAGCTAGTTATATTGTGTATGCAATATTATATAGGTATTATTATTTTTAAATAATGTAATTGATATACAAATATAAATTATAATGTATTGGTTTGATATAATTTTTGTTAATATAATATTGCAAGAAGGCGGATAAAGTAATCGGAGTCCATTCATCTTGAAATTACGTTCCATAACTTTTAATATAATAAATAATTATAAATAGATGGATAGGTACACTACAAGTATTAAGATACTTAAAACGTTCTCATACTTTAAAATAGGTAGTTTGAAGTTCATTTAAACAGTAGGTTAACAATATTGATAAAAAAAGAATATTATTGATTATCTAACCTCGTCAATGAATTGTTTCAACCGGTGTCACGGCGATAATATTATTTAGGATCCACGGCAATCAAGGAAATTTTAGACGGTAGTAGGTGAGTGAGTCACAACTTCCAGGTGAATGAAAAAACTAATTGCAATGCGTAATTTTTGGTTCAGTGTACAGTTACTAAATATTCTGTACTCAATTATGAGTCGTATACCAAAATAGTATATATAGGTAATAAAAAAAAAAAATGTATCCGTCTGATATAAAATAAGGGTAGTGGATACAATGAGAAAAACAAATTGGCCCAATCAATTAAAATAGTTCACCACGCCACTGGTTTAAACTATAATAGAATATACAAGATTACTAGGCAGAGATAGATTTAACACACGGAAATCAACTTTTCGCTATTGAATTTGAACAATGTAAACACATAAAATAGCAATTTAATTATTGTAAATCATGAAAGAATATATTATAGAGGTCACATTAATATTAATCTAAATTAGCAAATATACAAAATAAATACAACACAGTACGAGTAGATACCGGTAAACATAATACGAGCATTATCTACCCTTGAATTGGATTTTTTCTCAGCACATACAAATATTTACCGATTTAACACACTGTAATAGTACCTAAACATAATCTATTTTTAGAATAGGTACTAAAACTATGTTAACATTGTTCTAAACTCTAATAATTAAGTTATATTATATTATAATCATACATTGGTATAGTATTTTGTAATTATAATTATTATGTATTTGGATACAAGTAAATAGATATATAATAATATTAACGATATTAGTTTAACCGTTATATTATTATAAATTGCAGATGTAGTATACACACAGAATGCAGTAGGACAATCTGACACTTTTACATGTCACTATAATGTAAAAATGTCAAATAATCCTGTTACACCCTGTATATGTATAATTTATACAATGCGTCTCCGGGGAAAGTGACCGATCGGCATTTTGTGAAATCACACCAAAAATGACAGAGAAACCCTCTTTAAACGGGAGGGTGGGGGTACAACATTTGTACTTTTTAAGTTATCGGAAATTTAAGTTTTTTTTTTTTTAATGAAACCGTACCTGATGTGCATTTTTGTCGTGTACCTTTAAAAATGTTCAACTTACGAACATAATTTTTTTCATATTAAAGCTATTCTATTGTGTTATAAATAGGTACACAATTAATCCAAAAATACATTAATTATTCGTACTAAAAAAAAAGCAAAAATTTGTATTTTTAAAAATAAATCACGTTTAACTCCAAAAAATTTTATATTTACTAACGTTGTTTCTTTTTTTTTTTAAATTTTATTATTCTACTGAAAAATACCCACAATAACTTAAAAGTGTTGTTTTCGTATCTTCCATCATTGCAGAATTAGGTTATACACTGTTAAACACGATACTTTAAACCTAAAAACGTCTGGCTTAATTGTGTGTGTGTGTGTGTGTGTTGGTCAATAGCAAAATAGAATAGCTTTAAAATAAAAAAAAAAAAGGGCGGGGGACACATTGTATAAACATGTTTATAAGTTTACTGACTGCTATATTTAAGCAGCTTTATAATAATATACCCGTCACTAAAAATTATTATAGGTACAACAAAAATGGTGACTAGATATTGTAAATTACATATGATAATAGGTATATATTATATTTTTTTTTTGTACAAATTATAAAAACCATATACTAACGCTTTACACACTACGATCATTTGGCACGTAAATGCGGAAAACTTGAGTTTCGTATCATGTTTCACATTTTTTAATGACATCATATTTTGTAACGTTTTCAGTCAGTGTTGTGTTATAATATTATCATGCTAAAATATAACAATTTATGTACATCAAATATTCAATGTAGGTTTACATTATACGGATACAGGTATGATTATTGTTATAATTTTTTTTTTTTTTCTCTAAAGACGACGATATACATTTATCGATACTATGAAAACATATATGTATATATATATTGGTAAATATGACAGTAATATTATAGGTACCTACCAATACTGAACAGTTATAAACGCGTAAAACCGAACCGATTATTTGTCACTACGGTTACGCGCCGAAACACTATAACATAACGCGGGGTGTAGCGGCGCGCGCGCATTGCGCTGGAAATGTCGGCACATAATAATTGTATTGACCCGCAGAAAATGCGAAACAAGTCGATTGGACTCGGGCAAAAGCGGTTTCTGTACTAATTATTCGACCGTTGCCGTGCTCACGTGGTATTGTGTGTCGGCAATGTGTACAGCGCCGCGCACAGACGGTTCTGGGATGGGTGGGCGATGGCCTAAAGGTATCTGCACACCGTCGCTGTTAAAGCATATCGTGGGGTAATGCACCGGTATAACGTGTAAAAGCCGATTTGTGGGAAAGTTTACGAGTAAAAACGTGCCAATTTCGGCGGCTGTTGTTAAAATTCGGAATACCGTATAGAGCGCGCTGTTCATCGCGACTATTCGCGATTTGAATATTCGCGTTCGGTGTAACCGTATCGTTTTATAATATGCGTAAATAATACTATAGTACACCTAAAACGCGGAGCGATTGATGCGTAATTTCTAAACAACGAAATTCATATTAAATTAAAAGAAAACGACAATAACTAATGTAGATAGTAAAACAACAATAATATCTAAAAGAAAAAAAAAACACGGCAATTTGCATAATACAAATACCTATATAATAATAGTAATAATATAGAAAGTAAGGGAAAATCAAATAAAGGTAATCGAGGTAGGTAGGTAAAACAATAACAATAGTTTCTGAACGTATTATTATACAGCGAGCATAAGTAAATATTAATTTTATATAACCAACCAAATCAATACTCATTTCGATTGATATTGTCATAATAACAATAATTATTAATTATACACGATCGGTATTATATATTATAATATATAATTGCATTGCCGCTACGTCACTATTTATACCTACTATAATAATATATTTACAAAAAAAAAAAAATTATGTTTACATCGGGGGTCCGTTTTTTTTTTTTTTTTTTTTTTTTTTTTTTTTTTCTGTTCGATTAAATAAATTAATGGATTATCAAATTGAGTATTGTTAAATATATTCGCGTGAATTGCGGTAAAATAACTCTTATCGGTAAATATCGTTGACCGTTATGGTATATCGGGTAGAACACGATTGCGTACGTTTTTGAAGATAGCCTAAAGAATACAATAAAAAAAAAAAAAAATAAAAAAAATCAACACGATTGCGTACTCATTTGTGTGCAACGTTGTCAAATGTATATTATACTATACACTCGATAGTTAACTATCCAATACGATAATTTTATCTGAACTGTGGAATATTTATTACTAATAAAGTAATTATTAAATTAAATTAAATCCTAGTTAAAAAATTAATTATTTTAAAATACTTAAATTTTAATATCTGAACACCAATAACCTATTATAATTTTTAAAAATTGCAATGCATTTATAATATTTATGATACTTTGAATTCGAACGCAATACTATTTTGCCATTTTCTTTATTTTATCCCCCGTTATCAACCAATATTGTACAATCGGCGTTACCGTCGTTGATCGTCACGATCAACGACAACTGCGAAACACCGAAAATACCTATTATACGTTATATTTGAAATAGCGAAATTTTCGGCATATTGAGATGTATTCGATGTTGCGTTGATATCGTTAACAATGAACGTTCATGAAAAAACGAAAAGTATTTATGCATTGTTAATTCTAGTTCACTCGTGTGGTATATACCGGTGTGGAAATTGGCAACGGCGATTAAAATTTCGCACACAATCGTGTAGGTAACCGAAGATATTAGGTAACGCCGTACGCCAATCGTGTAGCTTCAAAAGGTATCACCGATAACAGTCGTGTTTTACCCGTCGTAATATTAGGTGCCCGTACCAAAATGAAAATCTACAATAGTCCGACGCACGCATTCTATAGACTTCAACATTATTATTGTTCCTAAGACAAACGTCTATAATCATCCCGAAATTCGTATTCGATCCGCACACCGTTGTGTTCAGTTAGTACCGGCGAGCCGATATGATTTTTCCCCGACACCCGATACTTACTATAAAGGTATCTACCGATATAAACGAAAAGGATGCCCGATCCGAAATTTGAAAACGTAATTTTTTTTAATTTTTAATTTTTTAACGCTTTCAACCAGAGGCATTATAATAAGCATTTTTTCCCGCGGGGCGTATATAGGTTTTTGAAAAAAAAAAAAAAAACCCATATCTTCTATGTCCGCCGATCTATAGGCTTTTTCCGATACCCACCATATACGAAATTTCAACGGATATAATAAATGTAGGTATAATAATATATGTATAGCGTTTAAGATTAAAACCATTTAATCTCGTGACGATACGTCCCGGATAATTTGGCGGGAATCGAAATTAACGGGTCATTCTATTTGCCCGGGTGTAAATCGGTATAAGAGGGTCGAGTGGGCCCGCTGATAAATCCTCTGACGTACATACAGAGTGATCGATCCGCGATAAAACACTCGTTATATCGGAGAGAATTGATTTTTTTTTTGGAATAAGGGCGACCAAAAATAACGGTAATGTAACATTTTCGAGATGCTTGTCTAAAAATGTCGAGATATTTAGTGTCTTATCGAGAATTTATGACCGCCTGTATTGTTGAAATAATTTAACGTTCATAATGGTCCAAATATCTAATAAAAAATTGATGATTGGAATATTGGACAATATAATTTTATTATATGTTTGATGTACGTCCAAACCGAACTATCTATTTATACTAACCTAGGTGAAACCTAGTAAAAAAATTCTAATCAAACGGTACGGGAAATTGAAACTTTGGATTTAGATACAAGTGGGAGGGGAAGGGGACAGACCACTTCTAAAATATTAATCACCATTTAATTCGTACTTAAAAATCCTCTACGAGATTTTTTTTCGCGTTCGTCCCTCGAGAGACATTTTATTTCGTTACCGTAATAATATTGTAATTCACGGAGAAACCGAATGCGTGGCCGAACCCTTTATCGCCGTGACATATATAAAAGATACTTTGCACACCCTGTACGTAATAATAATAGTGATAATAATAAAAATACAATATAGTTCGGTACCTATAATATTAGAATATTGCAAGCACGGCCAATGTGAAAGGAAAAAATAATTGCATTATTTTTTTTTTCAATTTCCAATTAGTTTAATTTTTTAATTTTTTAAATCTGTTCACACATTGGCCGTTCTTGCACTAAGCCACTGCAGATATACACGTTACATACATACACCTGCAGTGAGGTTAGCTTGATAATATTTTCGAACAGAACTGCAGGCGCACAGGGATTGTGTCGTTACGGTGTAAATGTGATATCATTGTGTGTAAAATGCGCTCTACAAATTGAGTTTAGCGGTCGTCACGTCGGGTTTGTAAGGCTGAAATAGTTTGTTTTTGGCGTACTCCTTGTGGTAGACGTGCTTGTGGACGGCCAACGAACATTCGGCCGACTGAAGGTCGTCCCTGCCGGTCTCCGGTCCGCCGCCGGAAGTCATGAAGAACGACATGGAAGTCGGCGGCTGCGGCGGCTGTGATGGCTGCGGCGGCGCAGGCAAACGATCGACCGCGGTGGCCGGCGGCGTGGACGAGGCGCTCATACCGGCGCCGCGTCCGCCGTCCACGCTGTTCGTGGACTTGCCGCTGGTGGTCAACACGCAGTCGACTATGCCGCATTTGCAGCTCGTGCCGGCGGACGGGCCCAAAAAGTCGGCTGCGTCTGCGGCCGACGACGACGACGATGACGACGGCGGCGTCTTGTTGCAATTGTCCGCCGCGCCGGCAGCGGCTATCGCTTTGTGATCTCCAGTCGCCGTCTTATTGTTGTCGTAACCGACAGACGTCGCCGCCACCAGGTGATGGTGACCGGTGTTTGACTCGGCCGCGGAAGCGTCGGCCATGAACTGATGATGGTGATGGTGATGGTGGCCCACGAACGGGCCAAACGGCTTCTTAACCAACGCCTGCAGCGCCTGCGTCGCCACTCCAGGCACGGGCGGCGGAACCGTCATCGGACCAACATAATGCTGCGGCTGAAACTTACCGTAATCGCCGCCGCCGCCGCCGTGACCACCGGTGCCGTGGAAGTAAGACGGACCCGCGGCCGCGGCCGCCGCAGCCGCGGAGTACTGGTAAGCGTTGGCTATGGCAGCTATGTCGGGCAAAGTGCCGTTGGCGTGTGCGCTGGCCGCGGCCGCTTGTAGAACCGTGGCCGCGAACGTCGGGTCCGTGTACACGGCGTACGGCCAAGCCATGGCGATCCTTTGTCGTTTGTCTTTCATCCGACGGTTTTGAAACCAAACCTGAAATCAGTAACCAGAAATACGATTTTCAAGAGTGTGCTGATAACACAAACCGGAGAAAATCGCGTTCACCCGATTCATGAATTCTAATCGTACATATCAAAAATATCCCTCACCTTGTTTCGAAAAATTAAAACATGAATTATTGAAGATGAAAATTCGGTGTATATCCGGGCCATTCAAATTTCGTGGCGCAGTCAAATTTGTCACGAAATACTTATTTTTTCAAAAAAAATGACCCACGTAAAAACTTTTTGGTATCATTTACTCAAAAACATTACATTGTCCCTAATTATTGTCACCCGTATTTTTAGCGGTGAAACGACTACCTAATTATGATTTTCAAACGGAAACTTATATATTAAATTCCATAAATAAACGGAATTTATAATGCATTTTTGTGCGAAAAGTATTGATTTCGATCAACCTGCCGTCAGCAAGTTATTCCGCTTTTAAGTTTGGGTAGGAGTAGAGTCGTATAATAGTAGAGTACTGTTCGAATACCGCGCGCTGTGCCGCCACTCAAATGACAATGTCGTCGACGGGGTTGACGGGAATCAATAGTTTTAACAACGAAATGCACAATGTAACGTTTTAGAATATATGATTCCAAAAAGTTTTTACGTAAAATAAGTGGATTTCATGGATAATTTGATCACGAAACGAGAATGACTAGTTATGATATATGACTGTATTATACTAGTAATTCGAATTTATTAAGGGGATTGGAAGCGACGAGTTTCTGTCTTTGTCTTACACACGTGAGATGTAGGGATTTGGACGTGTTTTATTTCCAACGTACCGAATGATCTAGTGAAGCGATGAGAGTTCCGAAAGCATATTTGAATTTTTCGTGATGTCAACTTGAGATCGACTTTCCCACTTTTTTGATTTTTAACTGCAATATCTCAAAAAATTAAAATATAATTAAATATTGATATTTAAAATATTAAATTCCTTTATCTCACGTATGTAAGACAACGACAGTAACTCGTCGCGTCCAATCCCCTTAAATCGCGGATAGAAAATCGATTCTGAGAATGTGATTATTTGTATTAAATAATGTACACTAGCTAGGACGCAAATAAGCTGAGACAAATTGTCGACGATTGGTTACTCGAACATCAGGGCATAATATTTGATGATTACAGTTTATGATCTAAGTAATTAGTAAGATTAAATTATGCACGAACTTTAAACTTTTAATATAAGTTACCATTTGAATTTCAAAAGTTCCCATTTTCAATCGATAAACATCAAATTAATATTACTAAATTAAATATTTTATGTAATGAAATCTTGTGTCGCAACAAATTTAGAAGACTAATTGTATAATAGATAGTGAAAGCTCGCATACCTTTATGGTCGATTCGGGAAGATTCAATTCGGTGGCTAGCTCACATCTTCGTGGCCTGGACACGTAGTTCTCTTTGTAAAATTCTTTTTCTAATCTGAGCAACTGTTCTCGCGTGAACGCTGTCCTGTATCGTCTTATCGTTTGATCGTTTGAATTATCTATAATTACCAATTTATACGGTACAACATTAATTATTCGATAATATTTTTGAAGTTAAACTACGTATGGGACGATCTGAATTGAGAAATTGCACGCACCATCGCCGTCCGTTGTAAAAGAACGCCACGCGTGAGCCCTTAATTTTCACCCGAGCGGATCGGATTACTCGGTGGCACACAGTAGTTTGCGGCTCGGACGAAGAGCGGGAGGGGGCTTACTTGCAGGTGGCCGTACACGCATTGCGGATCACGTGATACAGCACAAAACACGACACACGTGCGCTGGGGAGGGGGGAGGGCTAGCCTGCTAATGAAACTATGCAAAGTACGCGCGAACTTGGTTCACTTTATTGAGCTAAGACTCTCGCTTGACGCACTTGACTTCTTTGAAGTACGCCAACTGCGACATGTCTAGAGGTGTCGCACTTGACTTACTTGATATACTATCTTGTTTATTTTCGAGTTGTTAATACGGCAGGTATATTATCTTACATCGTGTTGGTGAAATATCGGAATGCACGTATTATTATTATTTGTTTTAGATTGTTTATATAGAATTAGAGGCTTGGTGTAAAATGAACGCGTTGAGACTTTAATTGTGTCGGTTGAACGATTACGATGAACTTTATGTTAGGGAAAATATAGTAGAAAACTATAAAAAGAATAGTTTTTCGTTAATAGCTTTTACGCGCTTACCGAATTCTACGCGAAATATCTCACTTCTGTAAGACGTACCGCGACACACTAGGTTTTTTCAAATTTTTTATTAGGTTTAAGTACATCGTTGTCGTGGACATAAATATTATGTAGTTGGTACTCAGTACTCATTTTGTACACGATCGATACATTTAAACGTGCAAAACATGAATGGAAATTGTTATTATTAATATTTCCTGTTCACCTAAATGAATCTGGTAGTGTCAATGATTATATTTTATGTTATAAATTTAGATTCTGAGCGAAGCGAGCAATGTATTGGTTTTACAATGATGTTTATTATTGTTATTATTTGTTTTAATAGCGTGTACAAAAATTCTGCCAAATATCTTGCTCTGATTTTCAAGTGTAGCATTTTTTCTGATAGGAAATTTTTAGGGGTGGTACTTTAATGAGATAATTTTATGATTTTTAATATAGTTTTCATAATAACTGGAAAAAAAACGTAGGAAAACTGGAGAATTCACGAAAATAATGCTTTTATTACTTTCAAGTTTGTTCTTTGTTGTAATTCAGTTCATAATATTGCCTTTTATAGACGTGGTACCATTTTCAAAATATTCGAGCCATTTTCGAGCTATTTATAGACATTTTAATTTTGCGAGTTTTTTTATATGATATTTATTTGGTAGGTACTCTTTGGATTAAACTGTTAGACCAAACAGAAATGTTTGAAAATTTAACATGAGGTTCATTATAATTCATACTTAGTGGTCAGCAAGAACAAAACGAGTTTAATGTAGTATTATTATTTAAATTTTTTAATAATAATTTTAACATCAAATTTTGACAAAAATCGTAAATATTACGGCCTTTTAAAACATGTATAACCGAACTCCGCTCAGAATTGTTTTTCGTTAGCGCATGAAAAAGATTAAATTCCCCTCATCGTGCGAAGTATTTCCGGTCTTTTATTTTGTTGAGAATTACTCGTTGACGCCGTTTTTGTATCTGAAATTTATTTAGATGATTATAATTCATTAAGACTATTCCGTTATGTAATTGTTTTAAATTGTTGGTTATTGTATTGGACAATGTATACGTATGTACAGGTTCCCATGAATTCCTTTGTGTACAATTTTGGTTGAAGCCTCCCCTCCCAACTAGAATTTATTTCTTTGATTTAAGCGCTCATAGACATTATTATAATCGTTTGGTTGGATAAAACGGTTTTTATCTCCTACGCTAGATTTTTGGAATTTTTAACTGGTAATTTAAAATGTATTATTGTTTTTGCTGGGTTACCATAATAATGGATATAAAATGTAAGACTATACTATTTCATTAAAATTGAGACGATTCGTATATAATACTGCTGTCGAATAAAATGCAATTAAGTATTTATAAAGAATTAAAGTAAAATTTAATTAAGACCTTGTAGTTGTTATTTAAAAATAATTAATGCAAATTAGGTATAGCAAATATATGATCTTTCAATATGGTTTATTATTTATTAGGTACTTAAGATTATTAATCGAGCTATAATCGCCAGTCAAAAGTATTATTATAGTTTGAGTATAGATTAATAATTTCGTGGCAGTAATTGAGATTTAAATTCCACACTAACGTACGACTCGAGTAACACATACCTAGGTACCCATATACTTTTAGATTAGTCGTATTGCACGTGCGTATTGCACTATATTTTATTGGTTGAATAACTAAAATTTCAAAACTAATATTAAAATCAATTTGCACTGTTCGCAATACTATATAGGTAGGTAGGTATAGACTATATAAGTAGGTGTACCGGCTATTTAGGCGATTAATGAAGTGACAACGTGCGCTTACCTTTGTTTTGTTCCGAGTTTGGTCTCGTGTCCAATCTTAAATTGTAGTTCTGTAAATCGTTTTCTAATTTTGGCAATGGAACTTTAGTGAACATTAAACCACTGTTTTGACGGTCAATGCCTTCCTGGTCGGTCGCCGAACGATTCGCCCCGTTCGATCTCGTCAAACAAGCATACGTTGAGTTGTGCATTTCACAGTCGACGATTTTATGATATTTTCATTACAATCGTGACAATTTCAAAAACGACCTAAAGTATAAAAAGCAAAATTTAATTTGTATTGCGCTGGTTAAAAATGCAGAACTGTTGTTTGTCAAAAATTGCTGTAAAAAAAAGACGTCCTATAGTATAATGGTAACGGGTAGCGACTGTTATAGGTAATTTAATGTATATCTGTAAGCAACAATTAACTATTGCTAACGAAAAAACGAATCTGAGCGGAGTTTGCAGTTGGTTGTGTTGTTTTGTCAACAATATATACATCTTATTATGGTAAAATAATTACACATACATTAAACATTTTCTTTAATAATATTTGTTTAATATTGTACCTATTTTCCCGTTCTCCCGGTTTTCCTGTGTTTATTCCCGGATTTCCCCATGCACTGAGAAAACAAAAAAAAAAAAAAAGTGACCTCCCTAAAGTACCAACCTAGTTAGATTTCCATTTAAGAAAAGTTCTATCATTGTAAATCGGAGCAAAATTGCTGGTAGAAAAGTTGTCCACAGAAAAAGTTATAATTAACATCATTGTAAATCCAATACATTCCTCGCTCCACTCAGGATCTAAAATATTAAAAATCTGTTGCCAATGTTTTATTGAATAAATATTGATTAATTTGAGAATGCTGAATTTAAATACATAACTCATTTCTTCAAATTACATTGTATTTTCGAGATAATAATCGATATAGTATAATAACGAATGTCCTTACTGAAGGACAAAATGTCATTTTTGTAGTACTAAACTATTCATCCACCATAAAGCTTTGGCAAGTTCTTTCACGTTGTCTAAAGAATGTTTACATAGCTATTGAAATCCACACCCTATTGAATACCATTACTTAAAATTTGGTTTTTAGATATTTTTTGTTGATTATGTGTTACCTTCGTAACATGGATGAAAAATAAAACAATATTATTAATTTATGTAGTGCGAACCTTGTACTGTGCGGGTACCTAATGATAATTTATCTATTCATTTTTTTTAGAAACTTTCTTTTATTTATTGCACACGCCGGACAGCTATTGTAATATTTATAAAATTCCTGAAATTAATTTTAAACACACACAATCTTTTCAGACTATTTGTAATATGATAATAATTGTTTAAATATAATTTATATTTATGATTATTATTAGAAATTAAAAATAATATTTCAAAACATTTGAGCGAATTCGATAATAATAATAAATCATGATTTGAAAAGTATTCATATTAAATACAGTATATTTACAGTTTAACAAATTGTTCAAAGTTAACATATTTTTCTTTCGATATTATGTCAGCTCCTAATAACGTAGCAAATAAAAGAGAGATATTTTTAAAATTCTTATAAAATTTGCTTTGTAATGGTTGTCGATTCGTAATTGCGAATCAAACAAACCAGCTATTGTGAAATTGTTAGCGCTAAGTTTTTTGATAAATTACTATCAAACTCAATTTTAAAGGACCGGGAAAACAGGTTAAACTTGACAGAACAGTTTAAATTTTTTAATAACACAATAAATTTATATTTATGAAAAAAATTTAAAAAAAATTGTTTATTATTAATTTTTATTTGAACTTAACTATATAATTTAGGTTTTTTTAAAAATTTGTAATTATATCAAAAAAGACAGCAACTCTTACAAATCTGAGATAAAATCAGAGGCGAAATTCCTTATAGAATTCACTATCAACTTGCTTACCACTAACACTTTGTTTTCCAGTGTTATTTATATTAACATTCACCCTTATCTATCTATGTTCCATTAAGATAAAATTTTATGTGATGATAACCATATTCTTTAAAAAAAAAAAAATTTTTCCACTTCGCGGTTATTTCGTTGAAAAAAAACATATTGGTTCCCGAAAAAATTAAAGTGTATTATACCAATTAACTTTTTTTTTTTTTTTTACTAAGTTGGATAAATTATTTATAAATATTAGGTCTTTTTTTTCAAACAGTCATTATAAAATCCTAACGGCTACACTAGCTATAGGTACCTATTTATGTAATATAAAACAGTCGTAATAATTTATGGTTAAACATTTGTTTTTATTATTATAAGGTTGTTACGGTGTGTTAAGTTTTTTTTTTTTTAATAGCTGTAACTCATATATATTTTAGGTACACAAATAAAAAAATAACAACAAAAAAGGTTTTAAGATGATGCCCTCGATAGTATTATTCTCATCTATTATATAGGAGAAAATACGATGACGACGGACGAGACGTCGTTTTAATTACATTAATCTAGTTTATTTTAATACATTTTATGTTCAAATAAAGTTAATGAGTAATAAACATTTGTGTTTTGTTTAAAGAAAAATAAAAAAAACCGATTCGGTACAGTGCAGAGACCACATAGACACGCCTGAAAAATTTAAACAGCCCAGCACAATCCAATAAGATACCGCACTTTCCCTTGCCTTCTATTTTCTAGATCCTTTTCCATGTAGATGTTGATAATGTATACTAATAAAATATTGTGAACCGTTAAGAAACTCAATAAAACTATTTTTTATTGCTTGTTTTTCGGGTGACCAGCAATTGTTTTGTGAAGAAATTTAATATCGGATACACCAAAGGATCCCTTTGTCAACTTATCCGCTTTATGGTTGGGCCACTAATTTGATTTTATAACATTAATATAGTAATAATATTAGTTAATAATTAAGCTCAGGTTTCGGAACAATACGAAATCAACGGAAATAAAACATTATTAATAATAGAATAATATAGTAAAAACAAAATTATTAAAATGGTTAATACACGTAAATAAATATAGTAAAAAATATATAAACAAAAAAAAAAAAAAGTTGGTTTTATTCCTATGTTTTTTTACTAAATTTAAAATACTTAATTATAAAATGATTATACCATTGTTATAAGTTCAAACTAAAATCACGAAGTTACGTTACTTAGTTACGAAGTTACCTGTACTTAGTATTCCATAGCTTCGAAACACGAATACGATATCCAAGTGAATTTCTTTACGGTAGCTGTCGACCGTCATGAAATGATTATCACTTGGTATGTAATATGTATCTATACATGATTTATATTATTGCAGCAATTAATAAATGGTGAACCAGATAATAATTATAATAAATTATCGATTAATGGTAACTACATTAATATGCGGATATTATAATTATTACCGAATCAATATAGTGTGCAATTAAATAATTAATGCAATACTTTGTCGGTATAATAATCATTGGAAATGAAAATTAATAAAATCTGTGTGTCTCTACACTACCAATACAGTGGGATCATTATAATTAATTATAAAATTATATTATACTAATATAAATTCACTGTTGAAATTTCTGTTTTATATGGTTTTGTGTACCAGTAGCGAACGTTTAACATGATTTTGCGAGAGGTCCTGAAAAATCATTTGTATTTTAAACGACATTTTATTTGATTATGTCGATGTCTGGTGGAAGTCCAGGCCTCTTTTGGACCCCCAATTTTGTTAGTCGGAGGCCGTTTCGTTATATTTTCTTTGTCGTTTTCTTAATAATTTGGAGAAAAGTTTAAAAACTGGACATTTTACGGAAAGAACGGTCTCGTTTTTTTCGGTTTATTATTTTGTTATTGTAATTTAACTAAAAACACGTACAAAATATTAATATTAACATTAGTTTTTTTTTTGTAGACGTAACAAAATATTCAAAACATTCTGGAGATTTTGAGTTATTTTTATAACCATTTCACATTTTTGAGTTTTTTTTTTGGTTTTTATTTGATTTCACGTAGATATAATTGTAATGGCCTAGTAGAAATATTTAAATATTTTACTTAAGGTTCAAGGTTCATCGTAAGTAATAGTTATAGTGTTAAGAAAAGAAGTTGAGCGTAATGCAGTTTTTTTTTTTTGTACGCGTTTTAAATTTAAATGCGAAGTTCGTAAAAATAACATAATTTCAAAACATGTATAACCGAACGTCGCCGCTCAGAACCGTATTTTTTTTATTTTTTTTTTTCTAACTTTCAATGTTTCGCGATATTTCGAATTACATTGTGTGGCAAGATTATTTCCGTTTATTTGTCTATTCAAAATATTATAAAATGATAACATTATTATGTTGTAATTTTAATTACCATATTGTGGCATAATAATATTTGTAAACCATTTGGTTCGCTATCAATTTTATTTACAAAAGATACGTTATTGATCCGCATTGATTCACAATAATAAACGGCCGACAAAACTAATTCTTTGTTTGCTAAATTTCTAAAGTATAATATATAATATTACTGTATTGTCTAAATTATAACCAATCGATATGGAATAATAAATAAAACATTAGGCTCAACATTCAAATATGGTTATCAGCTGTCATTAATAAAAGACAAGTTGTGTGCCAATGACAATATTATAACAAATAATATCCTTTAATGATTATAATTCGTATTTATTCACACTATCACATTTTTTGAGTTGATTAGGATGTGGAAAAAAAAAACATATGGGTGTATTTCAAATATATGTATACATATAATTAAGTATTATACATAGTTATATAGTACCTATGTACATTGTACATGAAACTAATTTAATAGACGCACCGCAATAGAAAAACACCATCAACAAATTAAATTATTTAAACAACTTGTGAATTGTTATATCACCTACAGAAAAACGTCATAGGATAATGGGAACGGGTGCAGCCACTGTTATAAGCAATTTAATGTATATCCGTAAGCAACGATAAGCCATTGCTAACGAGAAAACGATTCTGAGCGTAATTCCGTTGGTAGCGATGTTTTGTCAACAATATATATGTAATATTATGATAAAATAATTTAACAGGTATTATATATTTTCCATAATAATATTTGTTTAATATTGTACCGATTATCCCAATCTTCCTACGTTTTTCCTGGTTTTCCCATGTTTTATCCCGATTGTTTACACTTGCTAAGAAAACTCTTGGGAAAATCGAAAAATGACCCCCTAAAATACTTTCCCAATCAAATTTCCTTTCAGAAAAATCGTTATAATTTTAAATTGGGGCCAAATTGCTTGTAGAAA